TTGGCTCTAGAATTAATCTGCTGGGTTTCATCATAGTTCCACTCTTTAATTGCAGTCAAGTTACTTCACCTCCCTGAGCCTCAGTTTTCTCATCTCTAAAATGAGAATAATAGTGGCACCCAATTCACAAGCTTATGAGAATTAAATGGGATGATGCATATGAAATTTTAGTGCACTGGCTCATTCTTTAAAACATGAGCTAAAAAATATTTATGATTTGGCCTCATATCAGTCCTTTCTGCCCTGAAAGTATGGAGAAGAAAATACTGGGTCAGGTTTCAAGTAACTCTGAATGAAGTGACACTTCTGTGATCAATACTGAGATGTATACTGAGAGATTTGGGCATGACCTGGTCCTGCTCTGTGCCTCAGTTTCTCCATCTGCAAACCAAGAGGGTTGGATTAGGTGAGCCCTTGTAGGACTTTGAATGAGGGTGGCTGAGAAGACTGTAAGGCACCCCCAGTGGTTTCTGGATGGCCCCAATCTTCCCAGTTACCCCACACAGAGGAAGACTAGGAAGGGTCTCAGAAACAGAGCTCTGGTCTTACCAAACCAATATTGTAGCTAAGAGAACTGCTGTAGGAATGCATCAGCCCAACTGAAGATCTGTGTCTGTCACTGTATGTGACCTTGGGAAAGTCACTTCATCTCTCTGAGCTCCAATTCCTTCTTCTGTAAAGTGCAACTTCAAATAGTACCAAGATTGTAATGAGCCCAAGAGTTAATGTATGCAAAGTGTTTAGCCCACAGAGGAAGATCTCAGCAGTAGAGCACTATGTTAATCATCATTACTGATACCAGTTTCACATGGAGCCCACCACTGGGCATGGTTCTCAGAGCTAGGCCAAATGCACATGTGCTCATTCCAACCATCCTTTCTGATGACAATAGAGCTCTTTATGAGGACAGCAGCCATTCTGAGGACACACCTGGAAAAGTGTGGGCAGGCTCTGCATACCAATGATCTAGATTCCCACGATTCCCCAACAGCCTGAAGAAGGTGACACCATCTGTCTTTCCCGACCCTGTCCAGAAGACCAGTTCTGCAGAGCAGGAAAAGACTGGCGACTCTTTCTTGCCCAGTCCTCTCAGCCAAGGGAGAAAGGAGAAGTGACCTCCCCAAGCTCCATAGAGAGTTACTAGTGTGTTTAGGATGGAACAGTGTCTGGGTTTGATTCTTGGCTTCTTGGCCTACAGACTGAGGATCCTGAATGGACTTCTACTTCCTCATCTGGAGAATGGAGATAATAACAGAATCTGCTTCCCTGAGTTGTTGCAAAGATTGCACGAGCATGTACATGATGGAAGGCAGGCCCTCAATAAATACCCACCTACATTCCTCATGTCACGGCTCCTACTTCATTATATTTTGACTATGCCATAATGGAAACACCCAACACACTCATTTTGGGGTGTCATTTCAGCTCCGAAGCTGTGTGGAGTAAAGGAATTGGTCTGGACTGGTCTGGGGTGCTGGTCTGGAAACCAGACTGGGACCCTGATTCTAAGTGTCTGTGACTTTCTGCTGGTCACTTTCTATCTCTGGCTCTCAGTTTCTTCCTCTATAATGACATTATTCCATGGAAACATAATGCAGGACATATAGGCATTTTTCAATAGTAACCATTGTATAAAAAGTTAAAAAAATAGTAAGTAAATTAATAATCTATTTTACCTGACTCAGTGTATCAAAAATAGTCTCATTTCAACATGTAATTAATATTTAAAAGTCACTGAGATACTTTAAATTATTATTTTTTCTTACTAAATCTTTGAAACCTGGGTGTTTTTTCAACCCAGGGCAATTTTGGCAGTTATCTGGGGTGATTTTGATCTTGAAAACCTGGGGGGAGACATTAGAGGTATGTGTGTGTGTTCCTGGCAACGAGAGGGTGAGAACCACGTAGGAATGATGTGAACAGCCTACAATGCCCAGGCCAAACCCCTACATCGAACGATTAAATGCTCCAAAATGTTATGAGAACCTGCTTCACTTAAGGCACATCCCCATTTGGATTAGTCGCTTATCAAGTCCTCAGTAGCCATATATGACTGGTGGCTACCCTATCAGATGGTGCAGCTCTGTAACCCAGAACAATTTGGAACTTGGGTTTTGGGAAATTTGTTTTCCTGCTCATCCTAAAGAGTTATCCAATAGACCTGTGGGCGGGCTAAGGACGAACCCATCTGTCCCTGACTGGTCAGACCCTTCCAAAGCCATCGGTCCTCCCCAGGGAGACTGAGCCTGGGACAGACAGTAAGCCCTGTTGTTCCTTTCTTAGAGACAATGCTGCAGCCCTGCTACCTGCCTGACAGGGCCAATTGTGGTTCAAGGAGAAAAGGGCTTTGTCAGGACAGCAGCGGAGGAGATTGCGGTTCAATGGGGCCCTTTATGTCTGCTCTGGTCAGAGCCCCAATGCCAGCCTGGGCAGGCCCAGCCCCCTCCTGGAGCAGATGGGAAGCCTGAAGTCCAGAAAGGGTGTGGAAGGCCCTGCACTTGATCCCAATGTCCTCTACCTTATACCACTGCCCAAAATATGAAATTCATCTGAGACTAAAAACCTTTCTCAAAGCATAGGATGAGTTCCATGTAGCCCTTAACCCCAGGCAAAAGGAGTCCTAGCCAGAACCCTAAATTTAGTGTCTCTTCAAATCTCAAACACATACCAAAACAAAAGTGTCAAAGAATACTTAAGTGTACCTGTATCTCGGGTTCTGAGTACATCTCTGGCAACTACAATCCTAAGAATCCTTTCTTGTGATTTAAAAAGGCCCGGCTATTAAGAGAGGCTGCTAGAGCCTAAGTGTTCTCATCATTCAAACATCCCCCCTGCCAAACACACATACATGGGTAACTATGTAAGGCAGGTAAATGTATCAATTAGCTTGATTATGGTAATCATATCAAAATGTATGCCTATATCAAATTATTGCATCATATCTTAAAAATATATAATTAGTAATCATCAACAATACCTCAACAAAGCTGGGGAAAACACAGCCAGAGGGAAACACTCTCAGTGTATTGTTCTATGTCCTTGGAACAAAAACAATCACAATCGAGTCTGGGTGCAGTGACAGTTTGAAGGCTGTACCGTTTCTGTATCAGAATGGACACCGATTCATAGCACAGGAGGATTTGTGCTGCAGGAATGCTTAGGTAAGAGAAAAGATAAATTCTCTTGTCAAATCCTCCCTCTCAGGTTGCACAGTGCTCGCGTTCTTCCATAATAAAGTGACTTTTCCCACTGAAGCCAATTATCCAGGCTTTTTGCAGCTCTGTGTTCAGTTCATACTAATCTTAAAGGTATTTACCTCCATTTGAATTCCAGTTCCACACCCCTTGGGGTGTGCTTACATAAATGACCCACGGTGCAGGATGTGTTCTGATGGCAGAGCCTGGGACTACTATACCCTTTCTACACCCGGGGAAGGGCCAAAAAGAGATGTGTTATTTGACAGATAAGGAAATTGATTCTCATGAAAAGTGAGTTAAAGTCATCCAGAAAGTTAGAAGTCACATGTTCGGAGAACCCATCCCTGAAGGCCCAGCTAGAAGGACTCGCAGGAGAGAGGAGGACAATGACAGTGGAGACATAGACTGGGGGCCAAGTAGCTTTGTCCTCGCCTGGCTCCTCACATGGAGATAATGGTGCCTCACAGGAGACTTAAATGAGATAATACCCAGAAGGAGCCTCTGCCTGCAGCAATGGTTCAATAGATACTTTTCTTTTCTTTCTTTTTTTTTTATTACTTACATACATGACAATAGTGGAATGCATTACATTCATAATTATCCATTCACAGCACGATTTTTCATAAAGGCCACCTCCTCCAGGAAGCTGGAGACCAACACTTCCAGAACTGACCCCTGCTTTCTTAGCGGCCCCATACCTTCACTGCGCTGGAGCAGGAGTTTATTATAGTTGAAATGCCAGGCAGCTAAGTGTAGCCTTTGATCCTGGCACTTCCGTTTCCCAGCTGGGACCCAGGACAAGTCTCCCATGCTCTACTTTACTTTCTGCAAATGACAAAGGCATGTCCCTTGTAGGGTTGTCATAAGGATTAAATGGACTTGTATTTTTTAGCACTTAAAACTCTGCCTGACCTATAGCAAGCAGTTTTACCAGTAGAGTGTTTTAAAATTTTTACTATTACCCACAGAAATACTCTCTCTCCCTCTCTCTCTCTCTCTCTCTCTCTCTCTCTCTCTCTCTCTCTCTCACACACACACGTATACAATTTTTAAATGGTAAATTTTTACGTATTGGTTTCTAAATAACTGATCCCATTTTGTTCTCCCATCAATATATAAGGTTTCTGGGGACAAGGGCTAATTTTAGTCTCCAATCACTTCATTTCCTCCTTTGATTCAATTTACCAACCTCCTCTCCTTCATTCACTCGACAAACAAATTAGTACATTTATTGGGCACTTATTGTGTTCCTGCTACCTACTAGCACCCAACACAGACCAGATCTCTATGTTGAATGAATGTCAAGGGAAGAAGGGAGAAGGAGGAAAGGAACCAGGTTCTCAGAATCCTTTGGTCCTTCCAACTCTCACGTTGTCACTTCCCCTCTGCGGGAAATGTGCCACCTTTCTGGCCATCCTGGAGCGCATCCACTCTGTCACTGGGGGAGGTGGATGCCAGCGCAGTTGTCGGGAGGGGCGGATCCCGCGGACACGCCCCCCTCGCCTCCTGCCTCTGACACTGGGCGGTGACTTTGCGTCTGGGAGCCCGGCCCGGTCCGCACCCCAGGAGGGCATGCGCCCCTCTTCGGGCGGCGGGAGTGCTGGGCCCCCAGCGCCCGGAGTTGCCCAAGGGTTTGAGTGACTCCTCCTCGGGGACCCTCCCTTCTGGGGCACGTCATTCTCCCTACCCCTGGGTACCGACCCCGCGGGCTTCTCCGGAGCTACGCTGGGACGCTGGGACGAGTCGCAGCCACCTGCTCCGGAGCGGAGGAGCCTGGGGCGCCGTCGCCGGCGCATGGGTCCATAAGCCCAGGGCCCCATGGAGCTGCGGGCCGGCAACGCCAGCTGTGAGAACGGTGCGTGCTGCAGGGCTGGGGACGGGGCGGGCTCGCGCTTTGCACCCTAGCTCCAGTCGCCCCGATCTCATCCCCTGCCACGGGAACCAAAGGAAGGAAAGGGGAGGGTCAGTACGAGCTGACCCGCACCAATTCTCAGACTCGCCTTGGTGACTAAGACGAGATGTCCACCTTCGCAGCTGAGGTAGCCAAGCAAGAAAGGGAGGAAAGGAAGGAAACTGAACGTATTGGGGCTACTGGTGGGGGGTGCAGCGCGGCTCAGGGTTAGTGTGTGGTTAATGCAGATTTTAGTAATTGCCATGATCTGTCTGTGACCCAAGACAGGGGAGAGGACCACAAAGACTCCCCAGCCCCAAACCCACATACACCTTTCTTCAGTGGGGGAGATCCTCAGGCCGGACTAAGGAAAGATGCTTGGCTTCATGTCAAGTTCTTAGCAGGAATCAGGTAGTGGACTAGGCCCTTCCCTGAACTCTCTCATTTAATCCTTGAAACAACTCCAGCAGGTAGGTAGTGTTACTCTTTTACTGTCCCTATTTTGGAAATATAGAAACTGAGGCCCTAAAAAGGTGTTTGCTCAAGGTAGTACAATGGGGAAATGGACTATGAAATAGGGCTCTTGGATCCTAAAACTTATACCTGTATGACTGTGCTAAGCTCCTTTCTTGTTCAGACTCCACTTTCCCACCTCATCTTGGAATTACAGGTGGTGGGGTACCCCCATTTCTCTCACTTCTGCCCTTCTTACCTGAAGTTTTCAAAGCCAGCCTGTTGAGTGTTGGCTGACTTTGGTTTCCTGAGTGATCAGGCAGCTATTTTCAGCCTCACCCCTTATCCTAGGGGATAATGTGTTCCCAAGTCCAAGAATATTCTGGAAGAATAGACTAGAATCATTTATCCCAACACCCATTTTTCAGATAAGCACTTCTTACAAAATTGAATTTCCTTTGGCTATCAGCCTTCTCTTGATTCACCATAGTGGGAGAATTTGACCCTCAACAGAGGGTCTTGAGCCTGTAGGTGCTGCAGGCCTTGCAGTGACAGTCAGGTCCATAGAGTCCTTTGGCTCCACCACTAGAGATGCACCTTCAGGGAGCTGGGGAAGGGAGGGGAATGGGCTTGGCCTTGCTCACAAGGAGTTGCCTTCCTTGGCCCACCTCCTCCCAAGCTCTGGCTCATTTCCGGGGACTCAGAGAACTCCCCAGATTTGGCTCTTGGGCAAGAAGGACTGAACTGGAGGAACAGGCGTGAGCAATGCAGAACCAGTCTGATCAGGGACTGCGATGATGGCTTCCTGTCTCATCTTCCCTAGATTGTGACACAGGTGTTGGAAAGACAGGTCTCTTCTAATAGGTTCCAAACCCAACTCTACTACCAGACTTACTTGCATGACTCAAGTAAGTCTCCTACCTTGGTGGGACTGAGTTTCCCCAGCTGAAAGTAACAGGGTGAGACTGACTGTTTTTGGAGAATTCTTATGGTCCTGTTGTCAGTGGTTCTGTGCCGTGGAGGAAAGGTCAATGTTACCTTTGTTTTATTCCAAAAGGTGCCACTCTGCTGCAGATGTGCCAAAGCTGGAGCTTCCTGGCTTTGGACTTTGGGGCTCTTCTAGGCACTGGCTGGGAGTTCTAGTATGGTGGGAGAAGTGCCTGGTCCAGGCTTACATCCTTGGCATTGGAACCTGGGCTTCTGTTATACAGCCTGAAAAGGCCCTTCTACCTCTAGAGATCACCAACTCAAATGCCTAAGAAGCTAAGCCCATAACAAAAGTGGCTGAAGGGAGCCAGGTAGACTCTGAGGAGTTGCACAGAGCATGTCCTAAGATGTCAACGCTGCTTAGGGACAGATAGTTGTTGCCTCATGGGATGTTATGCCCAGTGAGGTAGCTCTTCTGACTTTCAAATGAAGCCCAAATATGAATCTTAAGGGGAGAGCTCCCAATTTTGTTTTTTTGGTTTTTTTTTTTTGTTTGTTTTTTTTTTTTGGATATTGAACCCAGGATTGCTTTACCACTGAGATACATCACCAGCCAATTTTGTTGTTTTGAGGCAGGGTCTCATTAAGTTGCTGAGGTCTTACTAAGTTGCCCAGGCTGGCCTTGAACTTCCTATCCTCCTGCCTCAACCTCCAGAGTAGCTGGGATTATAGGCATGCACCACCATGCCAGTTTATAGATTCATATTTTAAAATAAATAAGCAATACCAATTGGGATCTACTTCCCCACTTGCAATCTGCTTTACCTGGGTGGCTGTGGTGTGTGATTGTGATCATGGGTTTTGGCATCAAATGCGCTTGGATTTTAATTTTAGGTTCACCATTTACTACCTGTAAATAGCTTTAGGAAGAATACCAAAATCAGTCTCTTTGACCAAACCTGGAAATCATCACCATTCCTGTTTATTGGTTGTTAGGAATCCTCATGGAAAACTCTAGAACTGAGGACCATGTGGATGGTACCATATGGATGGTACCATGTAGGAGTGTTGAATGTTCTTTGTTCTGTTTTACTGAACTTCTGTAGCTTAGTTTTTCACTAAGGTCTGACCCTTGTTCCCAATGACAACAAGGCCTGTCCTTGCTGTCATTGGTGTCTGTGCCCGATGGGAGTAAAGGCTCTGGGCCACAAGGGCAAATTCAGACACTCAGGGACTCTGGGACTTGGAGAACAAACTAAAGAAAGAAAGGGTGGCAAGGACACGGGTCCTTGAGTGGACCAAAGAAGGTCCCACCCACAGAAGTGACAGAAGCAAGGCCCGAGAATGGTCAGACAGGAAGCTCATCCTTGTAGGATAAAAGGGGCTTGTCTAGCCCCACTCCCTCATGCTATCTATGACCAGTCCCCCATTGCAGCTGGAGCTTAGGGGCATGAAAGTAAAGAGACTCCTGTGTAGGATCATAAGCTATTGGAGGCCCACATGTACAAAGGGCTGAGAGAGGATTCTGCTGGAGGGCAGGGGTTTGAACTTAATGATGCCTGTGAACTTGGGCGACACTGCCTGGAGTTTGGGGCATCAGTACCATATTTTGGAGTTCTGCAGTCTACCCTCTGTGTGTCCTTAAGCAAGTGACCTGAACTCTCATTGCCTCTATTTTTATCTCTGTGAAATGGGAACTGAAGACATCATTCATTTGACAGGTAGCTATAAAACTATGATATGTTCATGCAAATAAAGCCCTTAGCCAGAGTGACCTTTTAACTCACCATCGCTATTATTTTTGGTTGGGGCCCATTGTGTGAGTAGAGGCCTGACATGGTGGAAGCACAAGTTCTGAAACAGTGGTCAATTCCATGATTTTTCAAGTGCACACATGTCCCCAACATGACTCTCACTGTAGTCTTCCCATCCAGGTTCCCTGATCAGTCTCTACTGCTCCTCCCAAGAAGTCCTGTGTCAGATCGTTGGTGGCCTCAGCCATGAGGTGCCCAACAATGCCACCTTTGACAGCTGGCAGGAGAGGATCAGAAAGAACTATGGCTTCTACATTGGCCTGGGCCTGACCTTTGTGTCCAGCTTCCTCATCGGCAGCAGTGTCATCCTCAAGAAGAAAGGCCTCCTGCGACTTGTGGCCACAGGGGCCACTCGGGCTGGTAAGGTCCTTGGGAAAGGAGAGGATAGGTGGGGCACAGGGCAGCTGAGCCCATGGCTGACTTCCCCTCACAGAGATCAGGGCTTAAGTCTGAGAATATGGTGAAGGTGGGCACTAAATTCTCAACCCTATTGAGAGTCTCAGCCACCAACAGGAGACCCCCCTTTATAATCCAGCATTTCCTGAGAACCTTGTGCATTGATGTAAAGATAGGGAAAATTCTCAGGATCAAGATTCAGATACTCCAGGCTTCGTTAGTCCTGTCTTTGCTTCTTAGTAGCTGTGACAAGCCACATCTTCCATCAAATGGTAGTACAAATGCCCCTGCCCACCACAAGGTCAGACTCTGGTGTGCCCTCACTTACTGTCCAGTTGAGCTTTCTATGGGCTACAACACAATTATTGAGTCCCTTTTTCACAAGGGACTTGCTTATTTGGAAAATAGAATGTGTATCCATTAAATTATTATTGAGAAAATCTCTACTGCTCCTCCCAAGAAGTCCTGTGTTAAATCATCAGTGAAGTTCAGACCTGGAGGGTAGGCATTGGGAAGGTTTTCTAGAAAAGTCAATCTTCCAGCTGAAACCCAAGTCATAAGGAGTCAGCAGGGGAAAAGAAGAGGAAGACATGATATTTCAGGTAGAAGGAACAGCGTGTGCAAAAGCTCCGAGGTGAGAGAATATGAGTGATCCTAGAAAATGAGAGTAGTTCAGGTAAGGGGAAAGAGGAGGTTAGGGCTAGCTCATGAATGGTCTTGTAAGCTGGGCTGCAGAGTATGAATGCAATTGCTATGTGACTGAGAGGCTTTAGGCAGAGAAGTGACTGAGTCTGATTTATGTTGAAAAGATCCCTGGCTGCTGGGTAGAGAATAGATTAGGGCACAAGACTGGAAGTGGAGAGTCCAGTTAGATAAGCAAGAGGACAGAACTTGAGTCTGGAAATGGTACTGGGGATGAAGACAAGCAGTGGATTCTGGAGTTTGTTTTAGGAGGCAGAACTCACTAGCTTTGATGTTTACTGGCTACAGGAGCAGGTACAGAAAAAGTCAAAGACAACTCAGGCTTGTGACTTGAGCAGTGGGGGGAGCCAATGGTGCCCTTTTCTAACATGAGGAGTGAAGATGGAGAATGTATTCAAGTTTGGACATGTTCAGTGAAGGTTTCTGCAGGACACTGCACTGGGGAAGTGCACTACCAGGGTTCTAGTTCTGGCTCCTGGATTTCTGGTGATGGAATCCTGGGCAAGGAATGTTTTTTTTTTTTTTTTCTATGCCTCAATTTCATCATCTATAAAAGAGGCATAAGAATAATTGCCAGCCTAAAGGGCTACTCAGAAGACATGTACAGGTTGACTCTCTCTTATCTAGAATGCTTGGGACCAGAAGTGCTAGGAATTTCAGGCTTTTTTCAGATTTGGAATACTTGCATTGGCATAATAAAATACCTTAGGGATGAGATTCAAGTGCAAACACAAAATTCATACCTTATATGCATAGTCGGAAGGTAACTGTATACATTGTGTTTAATAATTTTGTGCATGAAACAGTTTTATTGTGTGATATTTCCCACTTGTGGCATCATGTCAGCCCCCCCCCAAAAAAAAAAAAAGTTTTGGATTTGGGGAGCATTTGGGATTTTGGATTTTAGGATTAGGGATGCTTCACCTGTAACTTGTTTAGAAAGATGCTTGACACAGTGGTATTGGTATTGCTGTTATCTAAGGAGGGCCCTGGCAGAGCCTGCGTGTGCTCAAAAACAAAGAGCTGTGACGTGCAGGTGGACATTGAAAGCAGTGGCCATTGGTACTCTGTTTTTCACTTCTGGTCAAGTGTTTTGAAGACAGTTACTTCCCAAGTGCAAGTGCCAGGGAAATGTCTGCTTATGCTCAGGGCAGAGCAGGGAAAGTATCACCAACCACTCAGAAAGACAACTTCCCCAGAATCCCTTGTTCCCTCCAATGTGCTATTCCAGTGTCTTCTGAAATGTTAACTCTTAGAATAAAATGTTCTCAGAGTTTTTAGCATTTAGACAACATCCTGACCACTTCTGGAAATGGATGAAAGCAAAAGATATTCTCCTTATTCAAGAATAGAAGCATTCCAAAAAAGAAACATGATTTTTGGGTTTTCACAGAACTGGTTCAGGCCCATCCATCCTTCATCATCATCACCATCACTGATATTTTTGAGACTGACCATGTGTTGGGTCCTTAACAAAGTAGACTCAATTCCTAACTTTGTAGAGCTTCCATTTCAGTGGGGGAAATGCCAGAAAATTCACAGATCAACCAAATTTTTACATGACACATGCCATGAGGGAGAAGAGGTGGTGTTATAAAAGAGAATCCAAAGGGGGTATTAACATTCAGAGATCTGCAGGATACATGTGGTTTTAGGCAAACACTGGCAGGAAGTGAACTCTAGATACAGGGAAAAGTATATGCAAAGGTCTTGAGGGAGGAAAGAGCTGATGGTTTTTGAAGAACTAAAAGAAAGGAGAAGAGTGGCAGGAGGTATGCTTGGCGAGGTGAGCGGGGCCAAGACTATGCACGGTCTTGTTAAGAATTCTGGTCTTTATCCTAAGAGTAATTGGAAGCCATTGGCCAGCTATAAACAGAGATTTAATTATAAAAGACCACTGGCTGCCATGAAAGGAATAGATTATTAAAAGGACAAGTGTAGAATCAGAGTTGTCACCTGTCATTGTCTCAGCCTAGACATGAGGTAATGGTGCCTTTGAGTCGAATGGAGGGAGTTAAGTGGACATGTGTGAGACAAAGTCAGAGGAGGAGGAGAGAGAAGGGTCAAGAGCAATTCCCTGGCTTCTGGATTAAGCAACCAAGTACGTGGAGGTGCCATTTACCCCAGGGGTTTCATTTGGCAGGTAGGCGGGGCATTTAAAAATCAACCTTTTAGGACGGAGATTGAGATACCTGTGAGATGTCAGGGAAACAGTTGGATATGGATCTGGGCCCAGAAGAAAGGTCTAAGCCACAGATATGAAGTAAGCACCATAGATAGATGATATTTACCACTTTGGGATTGGATGGCACCACCCAAGAGAGGTCCTAGAACTAAACCCTGGGGCACACAGAGTGAAGGCAGCATCAGGAAAAGAGCCTGAGAAAGTTTGGCCACGTTTAACTTGGTGTCCATTTCCTTCTACAGTGGACGGGGGCTATGGCTACCTGAAGGACTTGATGTGGTGGGCTGGATTTCTCACCAGTAAGTGGATTCTCTTGCTACTAATAAGAGTAGTCTATTGATAGAAGGGATGGAGATGAAGGAAGAGTTGAAAGGGCATTTCTGTCTCTATTATAGAAAATATGAACCTAAGGCCAGATTCCTAGAGTGAGTCATGAAAACTTTGATATCTTACTCTCTAATCTCTGATGGTTTTCTCAGCTTAACATCAGTTTTAATCCATGAAGCATCTACCCCCCAGAGAGGTTTGTACAGAGGTGATAAGGATAAAGATGTATTTTCTCAACTTTCCTTGAAATAAAAGGAGATAGGCTCACTGCCTCTTGATAGTGGACTCTTAGACTTCTCCATGGTAGAAGCTGGGCTCCCAGGAGAACTTCTCCTCTCCCTGGACAATTCATCTGTTGGCCCATTTAGACCATGACTGTGTCTGACACTTGCGGTGTGCACACTCGCACATTTCCCCCATTTTCCATCACCCTCTCTGGCTCTTAAACCCTAATTCCTTTGAGTTTCCACTAACACCTTTTTTTTTATAATCCCCTAAGTCAGTTTTGATCTTTGTCCTAGCCAGAGCTATTGCAGTGACCATCTGATTCCAAAGAGGAGAGCCAGGCAGCTATCTGCCCAGCAAAGAGATGGAAAAAACACGGGCATTTGCAATTTGAGAACTCAGAAGGGGAGAATTTAAGCTCTTTGGGATGTCAAGCTTTTCTAAAAACCTGCCTGTTGGTTTAGACTGTCTACAGTTCTCCTGGGAAAGAGGTCTCCAAGGACCACTGGTAACCAGAGAATCAATAAATTTAACCATTGCTTTGATAATTAACATTGTCTAGAACTTACCTTAAAGATATAGTCCAAAACATGGACAGTCCCTGAAACAGACTGAACTGTGTCTGGATAGAAACAAAGAGGGAGGAAGAGGAGGAGAAGAAGAAAAGGAGGAGGTTTCTATTCACAAGTACTGCATGTAGCTAGACCTCAGCCTCGCCATCTTTAAAATGGAAGGATTTGGTCAGGATAGTCAGGGAAAGAGCATAAGGATCTCCTGAGCATGCATGGTCTTGTTAAGGAATGCTGGTTTGGGTTTCTAGGGATGATTGGAGCCTGAAAGAAGCCATCTCCACCCAGATTCATCTGGAATGGAGATGATTCCTTGAAGTCACCCTTGTCTTTTTCTTCCCTTCATTTCCTAGTGGCTGCTGGAGAAGTTGCCAACTTTGGGGCCTATGCATTTGCACCTACAACAGTTGTCACACCCCTGGGAGCCCTGAGCGTCCTCATAAGGTTATTGTCATCTCCCTAGCCATCTTCAGCTCTTTCATGGGTTCAGTTTCTTGAGACCTGGAATTACCTGGTGAGATCAACTGCATTCAGGGACCTGGCTTGGTCCCAGCCCCTAGAAAGAGGCAGTGTGCTGTTTGAAGCTCCAAACCCTTGAGTTGTTTGCGGCCACTGGCCTTGGCATCTCCTTGAATAATGGGTGGTTAAAGGGCAGGCCAAGCCCAAATCAGTTGTAGGGGCTCCCACAGCCAGTAGGCTGATGTCTCATGTGAATATCTGGCGCTCCAAGAGAAGCATGCAAATTAAGAGCACAAACCCCAGATTAACACTATCTGAGTTTTAATCCTCACTTGAACACTTAGTAGTTCTGTTATCCTGGGCAAGTCACTCCATCCCTCTCAGCCTCAGTTTCCCTCCTGCAAAACGATAATGCTAGTAGTACCTACCTGGAGACCCCGTTCTGAGGACTACATGTGACGCTGCACAGGAAGTGTTTAGAACAGAACTGGCACCAAAGAATAACCACAGCCATCTTACACTGAGGACTCACTATGTGCTCTGTGTTCTCCATGTGTTCCTTAGACTAACTTATTCACTCCTCACAACCTGAAGCTAAGAGAGGTGAAGCAACTTGGCAGAGGTAACCAGGTTCCAAGTGGCCGGCCCAGGATTCCAACCCAGGCTGTCTTATACCAGAGACTGGGTGCTTAGCTGCTATGCTATGTTGCCTCTCAATAAACACTCCACAAATGATTGATCATTTCGGAAATAACTGAGGCTAATCTGGAGATGAGCTCAGTGACAGAGCGCTTGCCCAGCATGCCCAGGGCCCTAGGTTTGGTCCCCACCACCATGAGAATTAACTAATTACTAAAATAAAATAACTGATACTAAAAGGGTGTGTTTCCACCACCCCCACTCCTCCTGAGCTACGTACAGAGCCAGTTCCTCTGCGACAGTGCCAACACTTCATTTGAAGGAGTTCTTGATGTGGGGGCTAACCTTCGAAACCTGGTAAATCCCAGCCTTCCACACCCAGTTCCCATAGTTTCCTCTGTTTTGTTTCACCATCTTGATAACAATTTTGCAACATTTACACAGTCGGAAGACAAATATGACCATGACTCACACTGTAGGACTAGCCCAGCTGATTTTAGGTGATGAAGTGCTGATACCTCTCTGTTGCATATCTGATAGGTTTACAAATCCCCACTCCCCGGAAGTTGGGAGAAGCATGTAATCCTGCATTGTGTGACCTTTGCCAATGCAAATGCCACCAGACTTTTTTGAACAAGACATTTTAATTAAGTGTTTGGGGCATTTTTAGAGAAGAGATAGGAGACAGACAAAGGAACTTAAACATCAGTATCCATTCTCCTGATACTTTGCACCAAAATTTTTTGAGACTTAATGGGGTCCCAGGACAGCCAACAGATTGGACCTACACTAATGCCACCTTCATTTTTTTAAAAAAAGCTCCAATGATCAGACCCAGCTTGACTGATTCCCTTTTCCTTCACCTCTGCTGTCTCATCTAGAGGATGAGAGGAGAATAGAATTATGTCACCAAGGAAGAGCAAGGAACTGGAAGTATTTTATCCAGGAAAGTGAAGACTCAGGGATCCTCTTCACTGAGGTGTAGAGGTTATGAGACAGAACTTGGAGCTCAAATCCTGACTCCACTGACTTACCAATTTAACTTCTATGAGGCTCATTTTTTTTTCTCATCTATAAAATGGGGACAGTATATTTTACTTCACAAAGAATTGTGAGATGTTAGTGATATTTAGAGATAATAAATGTAAATTTCCTAGAACAGAACTTAGTAGGGAAAATATGATCAAGACACTATGTCTAGAATTGTCATTGTGGTCATTCATATCGACATATACAAATGATTTGTTCTCCATGACCCAAGGAACAGAAATGAAACAAGGAGTAGAAGTTTCCAGAAGGTCTATTTGTGATGGATAACTAGAATAAACCTACAATGAGCTCATTTTGCTTGTAAAAGGGATGAGCTCCCTGCTACCAGAGGTACACAAGACAAGACTGAAAGGCTTTTCACAGCAGTCCTACAAGGGATATATCCACAGGATAGAAAGACAAAAGCTTTTCCAACCCTTCAGTTTGCAAATGATTTCTGTCTCAAAAAATGAAAGAAATCTACTTTCCCTTCTTTTCCTCCTCCCAGAAATGAGTTTCTGTTTTGATCATTTTGGGGAGGTCTAGCAAAGCTTTCACTTTGTCAGAGCAATAGATTAGAGCTCTAATCTATTGCTCTCCATCATCTCAGCCCCACTGTCTCTTTGGGTTTGGGCTGTACTAACCCCTTTCTCCCATCTCGGTGTGCAGTGCCATCCTCTCCTCGTATTTCCTGGGAGAGCGTCTGAACCTGCTGGGGAAGCTGGGCTGTGTGATCTGTGTGGCTGGCAGCACAGTGATGGTGATACACGCCCCTGAGGAAGAGAAGGTCAATACCGTGGTGGAGATGGCTTCCAAGCTGAAAGACACAGGTAGGCTTCCAGCACGAGAGAGCAGCAAACACCAGGGCTGAGCCCTGAGGAAGTTCCCATTGACTGCTGACCGTCTCAGGTCCACCCCTGCAGGAGAAGGCAAGCTAAAGCAGGCTGGTGCATGTTAGCAAGGCGAGCTTGTGGCTTCCTAGCCTGATGTGTGTGGACACCACTTACCGTTTCTTATGTGCTAGACACTGTCCTGAATGCTTCATATGCATTGTCACACTGAATCTCACAAAACCCTACAAGGAAGATCCTATTGTTGGTCTGTTTCTATACATGAGGAAACTGGGGTCTTGGGGGTTTAATAACTAACCCAAGTCATTGAAAGGTTTGAAGCTGGGACTGGAACCCATGTTTGTCTGACTCAAGAGCCACCTCCCCTGGGGCCCTAGTTGCTGTCCACATCCTTCACAGGTGACCTAGTCCCTCCTTCCCACAGGGTTCATCGTGTTTGCTGTGCTTATGCTGGTGTCCTGCCTCATCCTCATCTTCATCGTCGCCCCGCGTTATGGGCAAAGGAACATCCTCATCTACATCACCATCTGCTCCGTGATCGGAGCCTTCTCAGTGACTGCAGTCAAGGGTCTGGGCATCACCGTTAAGAACTTCTTCCAGGGGTTGCCAGTCGTACGGCACCCCCTCCCCTACATCCTGTCCCTCGTCCTGGCTCTCTCCCTCAGCACTCAGGTCAACTTCCTCAACAGGGCCCTGGACATCTTCAACACCTCCCTGGTGTTCCCCATCTACTACGTGTTCTTCACCACGGTGGTGGTGACCTCCTCTGTCATCCTCTTCAAGGAGTGGTACAGCATGTCTGCCGTGGACATCGTGGGCACCCTCTCTGGCTTTGCCACCATCATCTTGGGTGTATTCATGCTCCATGCTTTCAAAGACTTGGAAGTCAGCTGGGCCAATTTGCCCCGCACGCACAGAAACCCTCCGCCATCGCCCGCCCCAGAGCCCACGGTTATTAGACTGGAAGATAAGAATGTCCTTGTGGACAATATAGAGCTTGCCAGCACTCCGTCACCAGTGGAGAAGCCCAAAGTATTTATAATCCATTCTTAAAGCTCAGAATACATGAGTGAGAGGATGAGCCCAATGGTGCAACCTGACCTCTTGAATTCAAAACATGCTTATTTTTGGTGCAGCTGTTGCCAATGGACTGTTTTTCCTTGAGATGTTAACTTATACCTCATCACTGTTTCTAGGAGAAAATTTTCCACCCAAGGAGAGGTGGTGGCAGAAATTCCTAGAAACAGCCTCAGTGACCAAATATCTTAGTTTACATTGGAGCCAGCAGGTCCCCTGGGCCTCCCTTTCCACGGGTTCCTTTGGTGCCATCTCTGTGTTGGGAAGAAGAGAGAATTTGACGCGTTGAATGTCACAATCTAAGAACTTTCCTGAGATTTTAGCCCTCAGGAAATCCTTTGTACCAGTTCTCCTTCTGAGACTGAATCGCCATTCCTTAGCCCAAGAATGAGATAGAGGTAGCTTCCCGAGACCAGTTTGTCAGCCACCCCATCCAGAGCTGACAACTATCCAACCAGTGTTGCTTCTGCCATTTCCTCTCGGAGACAGAAGCAGGACCTCAGCTGACCTTACTGTGAAAGACACCTGATGTCTCAGGAAAAAATTTCAACCAGCCTGTTCTCCGAGTACTCCAGCCTGGTGGTCAGTGTATTGGTGTCCATCCAGTCCCCTCCATTGTCACCTCTTCCCTCACTATGACTGTCCCAAGGAGCCGGTCACTAAGACAGACAGGCAATAATTTTAGAATTCAAAATAACAACCAAAGATGTGCCACAGCCAAGCTCTGCTGACCAAATCTGATGTCCTGTTTGGCTCTACTCTGGACAGAGACAGCAAAGGCACTCTCTCTTAAAAGTGATCTGACTAGAACCAAGCTGGAATTCAGCAGAGTGCATGGGTGCTTGATGTCACATCGCCCAGCAGGGGAGTTAACTCAGTCATGTGCAAGGTTGGTCTCCCACAGAATACCTTTTTATTTTTTTCAAGGAGTCAACCAAAATATGATTTGGAGAGGTGGAAAGAAGCATGAGGAGAAAAGTCGGGAGTTGGCAGAAGATAGTTACAAGCTGTCTGGAAACCAGGGGCTCATTTGGGGGTTTACTCTTATGCCCAACCAGGTATAAAGGGCTCTTCTGGGTAATTTCTGGGCTGCAGACTTGGAGACTTGGCCAGTGGGATTAGCTCTGAATCTCAGTGACAGAGTCGGAGCACAGACTTGACATGGGTGCATTTTGGCCAATGACCAGTTTGCCATGGAGTCCCTGGTTCCACTAATGAGTTAGCTGTTTACCCCAGGAAGCACCGTGCTGGGGGCTGCTCCACACCACCAGCTAAGGGCGCTGCCTTCAGTCCTCTTACATTTAGCCAGGGGCATCTGCTAAATCGGAGCAGCTGGAGATACTCCTCCTTTTCTTCTAGCTTCAAGAATATGGGAGTTGTTGCAAGAACCATTACAAAGGAAAGTTAGGAGCCAGTTTACTAGAAAGAGGGAAGATTTGAGCCTCAGCCTCCAGGTGGGTGCAGAGCTTCCCTATGAACCCCCGACCTGTGTGCTATGTTTACATCTTGTGCTTTAGTGAAGCCAAGCCCAGGCTGAACTCTTGCTGGCCTTGGCACTCCAAAGGCTCAGTGGACTGACAGACTGGCTCCCCGCACCTGTAGCCCTGCACCTCCAGGTTTTAATGAATGTGGATTTCTGTCTGTAATTAAAATCAATGCAACATATTGAATCTTGAAAATAGGAGTGAGCTGAGGGTCCTGGGAGTAGGGCTGACAGGGTCAAAAATAAAGGCTTTGGAGTGTTTGTTTGATATTTGCATCTTGACCTTCCTTGATCATGGAGGAGTTCAGCTAGTTCCTCTACTTTTGGGAGGTCAGTCCCCTTCTGTAAAAGAGCATGACTCCTAAGAAAAGCCCTCCAGAGTCTGCCGTGACGCCCTCACTGGAGCTGGAGAGGTCATTTTTGGAATAGAGTCCATTGAAGGCAATTCTTCCCGAGTTCATGCCTGGGCCCTTACCGGGCACCAGGCAAAGTAGGCATTCCATGTGAATCCTCATTTTATCTCCTCACAGAGCCCTACAGTGGGTATATTTTTTTTATCCCCAATGTATATATGAGAAAAGGAACTTGGAGAAGATAATTGCCCAAGGTCACACAGCCAGGGAGATTTGGAAGTTGACATCTGATTCTAAGCCCACGGTCTTAACCACCAGGTGGTGTGTTTTCCCAATAGACTAACCTTACACCCTCCTGAAGAGTCTGATACTACTTTACTTTCTTGAGATCTGTGATGTCTTCCTATCCAGATATGAACTGCATGAGAGTTAGTCTGGGCTTACTGTTTATCCCTTGTTCCTAACATATAGTTAGAATTAAAAACAACAACAACAACAACTGAATTTGATTGGGGGCCAGTTTCCAATTCATGGCAATCCTATGAGAAACCTAGCATGGTAAGCAGAGTGACTCTAAAACCAACATAGTGAGGACCTTCTGAGCACATGGCCTGTGGTGGGCACTGTTGGGTGCTTTCACACAGAGTGATTTTCAGGTAGGTAGGTTAGTCTGCTTTCTGTCACTTTAACAAGTATCTGAGACAATCACTTATAAGGAGAAACGTACAAGGGTTTTGGAGGTTCCAGTCCATGACTGGCTGGGCCTGTGGCTTCGGGCTTGTGGCAAGACAGCACTATAACAGCAAGAGCGCATATAGCAGGGCACTCATGGCTGGAAGCCAAAGAGAGAACTAAGAAGAGTCTGGAGTCCCTATTTTGCTTTGGGACATCCTTGAGGACCTTCCTACTAGGCCCCGTCTCTTAAAAGTTAACCACCTCCCAACAACATCTTCCTGGGGAATAAACCTCCAATTGGGGGACATTTGAGATCCAAATTACAGCAATATTCTTCTTAGTTGCATACAAAAGGAGACTCAGAATTCTGACACTTAATCTTGACTCACACTTCCTGTAAGTGGCAGAGCCAGGATTTGAACTCAGGTCAGAACCAACAGATGATATCAACCCAGAGGACTGGCCAAAAGAGTAGACAGTGTCCTATAAAACAGGCAGAGGTGTCTGGGTAGGGACTCATTTCACAAGCCTGAGTGTTACAGTCATGAAAGCATTTGTGTTTAGATGCCTTTAGTGTCCTTAGGTGACCTCACAACCATGAGAGCTTAGAAAAGTACAGTCGGATATCAAGGACCCTCTCTCAGGATTTCTGCGAAGATTAAATGAGATAAAGAAATGTAAAATGTGCAGCATCTTGCATGTGTTAAGTCCCAAGCCTCGGCACACCGTTGTTCTATCTGTTAACAGAAACTCAAGATCGTGTAGGGATCAAATGAGAGTGTGAGGGCAGACCCCTTTGTGAACTGGAAAGCACTGGATGTGGGCTGGATTATCACATAGGGCTCTGGAATTAGCCCACGAAGCATGGCCCTGGCTGCACCTGTCTACCCAGCCAGGAGACCTTGGGCAAGTGTGTCTCTAAAGTTTCATCCTTAGCAATGAGATGAGTCATCTTCTAAAGCATAGTATAGGAAAAGTAAACCAGAGAACCCAAGATCATTCAGGCCTTTAATGACCCAAGACCCAGTTCAACTAAACCAGCTCCTGTCTGGGTGCAAAGGAAAATAGTCCCCTCTCCTGGCCATGGGAAACCCAGGCTTTGCTAGGGCTCAAAGTCAACCATAATGGCTTTGTAGGCTGGACTGATGGTCTTTGTCTTTCTGAGGAGAGCTCATGTCATGGATTCTATCTGGTCCAAGCAGTGAGACATTGAAACAAACACACAAAAGAGATGCCAAACCAGAATATTCCAAATGAAAAAGTTTGTTTTAATTAAATACAAACAAGGAAAAAAAAAAAGGCACCACGGCCCATTCAAGTATTTTGCATAGATGTACAAATATTGTAAACAATTAATAGGTGGATAAGAGAGAAGAGGATCTGTTTTTCCATTAAGCATCTCCCAAATAAAAAGAAAATTCACATTGCCCTGGATCCCTAACGCGTACGTACACACAGTGGGTGGTGCGAGGGGACGTTCAGAGGGTGGATTTGGGGGAGTTGGGCTTGGATTCTGCAGAACTTCTCCTTAGCAGGCTTCCCTAGGGATGGGACCCCTTTCCAGTTGGCACTCCTTTGGCTTATGTGGGTGCCCCGCAGAGCTGTTATACACATATTTAACACAATTACTGGCTTTAGAACTTGTCCCCAATTTTTAAAATGCAAGTCTTCCATACCCTTTGTCAACTAAGAAGAAATTAGGTCAGACCTAAGGGGAGGCTTTATTAAAAAGGATTATTGAAGGATGAGGAGGAGTTACTGCAATCAGGGAGGGGGAAATTGCAATGCAGAGAATACTCAGACTTTGAGATCTGCAAGAAGCTTAGAGTTGGGGCAGGAAAGGGCTTTTCTCTTATAGGTAGAAGTCAACATGGAGGAAAGGAACCTACAGCAAACAGGTAGTGCCACTTGGCTAATGTCCCACAGAGCCAGGGAGCCAGGGAGCTAGGGGGCTGTCTTCCTGAGGTTTGCATTCAGAGATAGCTCCAAGGCCCCTGAGAAAAACATTCCCAGGCTGTAAAACTGGCAGGAGCCTAGTTTAACTTCTAAAAAGATTTACATCCTTCTTTATCTGAATAAACAGCATGCTGTTGATGGACAGACCAAACTGGAGTGAAGCCTCCCTCCTCCCCACCAGACCCTGGACCTTCACTTACCCTCAGCCCAAGCCAGAACACAGGCTGTTTGTAACAGCCCTTCCCCAAAAAGACAGGGACAGAGACTCCCATGAACACTGTTCTTTCTAGCCATGTTCACTCCTTCTAATAAAAGAAAAGGCCTTCTCTGCCTGGGCCATGGGATGCTTGTTCATTTGGAGTCAGTTGGTCCGAGCATCCTCCCTGTGGCCATGGTACTCTCCTCTCCGTATGGCAAAGTTCTCATCTCTTGTGATAATCCTTTGGAATAAAGCCCGCCTTCCCTAAATCCAGATGTTTGTACTTGAACCCTCCCAGCAGCGCTCTAGGCAGAGGCGTGACCAAGGGATGGTAACTCTTGGCACTCTTCTCCCTGGAAGCCTCTCTGACCTGCTGGAAAATGACTCCTAGCTCCCTGAACTGAACTAGGAGTGAAATGGCAAATAGAACTGGCTGCCCAAAGTTTCCATCAAATTAAAAAGATTCCACCATCTTCCAGTTCACAGTATAATTTTATGGGATGGAGATGGTATTAAGAAGAAAACCCAAAAGAAAACAAAAGGAAAGGGAACAAAAACCAGGGCTCTTTCCAATATGGTTCCAGGGATAGTGGATTTGGGGTTCAAAAGGCTCATGACATCATCATGGTCGCCACATGGTCACTTCAGAGTGGCCTACCTCCTGATGTGAGGGAGAAGGGCTGCACCAGCCACAGGAACATCCAGGTGACATGGGGTTGGTTGGTTCATTTGCAAGGGATGAGGGGGTCACCTTTTCTGGGACCCAGTCTGGAGGCACGGGGCATTGGGTGCAGCATGCTTAAATAGAAGGCTGTGTCCTGTCTGAATCTTGCAGTAAGAAGGTGGGGAATGGACATGGGGGAAGGAGGGCCCGAGTATCGTAGCCACCCTGAGGGAAGAGAAATGCATTTTCCTGAGATCTTTCTAAACCCACCCCATGTTTGTCCCCAGGTGTGCATTCCACATCCCCTACCTGTCTACAAACCCAAGAACATTAGTTCAGCACCTACTATCTGCAGAGAACTATGAGGAGGCCCTTGGATGGTGAGCAGGGAATCAAAGGATCAGCCCCCTCTTTGCACTGAGGTCTTCAAGAGCAAGAAGGTGGGAGGTCCCTGGAAAACCCTCAAAGGAGTGAACATTAGGCTAGCTCCCCTCTGGAGAGCTGCTCAGCACCTTTCTGGGGGTAGGAGACAAGTCTCTAAGAGCTCACCCCCAGCTATGCTATAAAAATTGTCTGACTAGCAGAGCACCCCACAGACTTCCTCCTGAGCTCCAGACAGAATAAGGTCCTTGGAGTCCAGTCCCTCTTCTGCTCAGAGCAGTGACCAGAGGAGAGAATGAAGGAAGTAGACATCAAAAGCCTGGTTGGAGGGAGAAGACGCTGCCCCAGCTCAGACTGTTTCACTGCAGTGATTGACAGCTGCCTTCTCCAAGGATCTCTGATGCTCCTCCTTCACTACTACCACAGCCATCCCTGGGGGACCTCACCTAGATGTAGGTGAGGGAGTACAGAGGAAGAAGCTCGCCCTGTTGAGGTCACAAACACAAGGAAAAATGAAGCTAGGCCCCCATGGCTATACCCCAAGTCCACTTGGGTCAACACTCTTGAGATCCAGTGCAGAAAATCCAGTGGCCACCCCATGAGGCAGGACCCTGACTCGTAAGTCGCAAGCACCTGATTGCTAGAAAAGTCAGGACTGCTGGGGCTCCACTCACCAAAGCACCACGTGATAGAGTGGGTCTGAGGGGGAGGAGAAGGCAGAAGCGTGGAATGCAGAAGAGAACCTAAGGGCAACCAAGAATTACCAAGAGTCCAGTGGCAACCTTTGGCATCACGGCTCAGAGGAGGCCCAGGTCTGGTGCTCCCCCTGCTGTCTACATTGCCTACAAATAGTACCTGTCTGAGTCAGTGTGACCCGTGTGAATAAAGGGACTCAGGCTTGGGAGATAGGGGGAAGGGGACTTGGCTTGTCACATGCAGCCATATAGCCAGGGGCTGTCATTTTGACCAAGCCCTGGGCAGGACCAGAGCAATGGCTGCTTGGACCCTTTCTCAATCCCTAACAGCTAAAAGAGATGGGTAAGGGCCCAGCCTCTGTTCAGCTTGGGATCTCCAAGGGAGACAGAGCAATGAAAAGCTCTCACACGTACCCTCCATCACAGGCCCTGGATGGATGACTTCTCCAAGCTAAACTCCAGGCAGAGGGGCTGAGCAGGACTTGCCCCAGCTGGCTCACCAGCTCAGAGGGCCTTGCCCACCTCCATCAGCACCTCTGAACGGGGAGGACAGAGGGCAAAGCTGCCATTCACCCTCCACCACGCTCTCCCCTCCCTACCCAGGGTTGTATATTGCACAAAACAACATATAGAAGCCATTCGATAGTAGTCCTCTGGGCCTCTGAAGAAGCTGAGGAGGCATGAGTCAAGAAGGAGAATTTCCGAGATGTGGTAGTTCCAGGAGGAGGCCAGGAGCTGCTCAGAGGTGTCTAGACATGCTTCTTCCAGATCCCGTGCTCCTGGAAACTGTGGTGTCCAGAGTCCCCAGGAAAGCAAGAACCCTCTAGGTGGGTCTAGATTTTGGAGCTGGTCATCCCAAAAGCTCTCTGTGATCGGTATTCAGGAAACTGGAAGGAACACAAAGGCAGGGAGGAAGAAATCAGCTTGATGTCCACTGGGGGGATTCACGGGAGCTGTGCTCTTGCTTTTTACAGATGGAGGGCAGATACATCATGCACTAAGAAGAAAGGCTTCCAGCAGAAGACCTAGACCATCAGCCTGTGCAGAGGTATGGTGGGGCTCCCCTGGCAAGCTGAGGAGTCCACTTCCTCACCTTGGCCCTTTCACACTCCCAGGACTGGCAAGCTGAGAACGTCAGCCCCAGAGAAGAGGTAAGGAGAGAGGCCAGGGATACCTGGCCTATCACAGCCACTGCTGCCTATTACTGCCCTTTTATAGATGAGCAAAGGGGCACTCCAGAAAGGGACTCGTTCAGGGCCACCCAGCAGGTCCGGTGCAGATGCAGGTAGAAGCCACCACAGCTCAGGCACCGAACTGCTACTTTTCACATGAAACCAAAACCCCCATCACTGATTTCAGGGACAGTCAAGCAGGCACCAAAAAATGCTAAGCTTTTGTTCCTGGTTTTTGCTTTGGAAGTTCCATTCAGACAAAAAGCATGCACTAGTTTGTTTTCTCAGCCACACAGGTGACCTCTGGGACTTTCGTGGACTCACCTTTGAGGCAGGAACTACCAGAGGCTGGGACTGCTGAGGGCCAGCAGCAGAGGGCCTAAGCTCTGAGGCACCACTTGGCCTGGGGAGGGTCCTGCGGCCTGGCACAGGGTTTGCAGGGAGCGCCTTCTGGGGTGGCCGAGGCCTGGAGAAATCCTGGAGAGAAACAAGTCAAGCTTCCAGATGGTGCCTAGTATACAGGAAGCACTCAACACAAATTAGATGAATAAGTGCACTAGATTTCTTAAAATCAATATGCATTTCTCTACACTAGTTAAGTTTCGTGAAACAGGAATGTATCTCTTATGTAACTGGGAAAAAAAGTTTAGAGGGGCAAAGAATGGACGCCCCAAAGTTGGTAGGGTTTAAGAGAAGCCAGTTCCTTCCCTGAGAAGGTCACTAATGGGTAGAAAAATGGGCTAAAGGCAAGCAAGCAGAGAGACCAGGAAGAATGCTGAGGGCCAGCGTGTTCTCTAAGAAACTGTAAGAGAACTGAGAGCAGAAACAAACTCAGACAGCAGGAAAAGTCATGTTCTCCCACTCCCAGCGTGATCACCCTCCCTTCCCAAACTGCAGTAGCTGCTGGAGGCCAGGAGAGACCTTCTAGGGAAAGTGATGCGGGTGCAGATGTTGCCTGCAGTTGAGGAAATGCAAAATGAGCCACTAGGGGGTGGCTATCTGGGCCTTATCAGAATGTCAGCACCAGGCCTTGCAGAGCAGTGATCTGCCTCAGGCCACATCTGATAGGACCCAGCTCAGCTCTGCCATGGGCCTCAGAGCACTGTTTCCTGGAAGCCAAAGCAGCCATAGGCTCAGGGTCCCCTTCCATCAGTCAGGCTGCACAAGGCAGACACTGGGTGTCATCCCGGGCCAACGCCCATCTGCAGGTGATCCTCAAGTCCTGTTTACTCTTTTTCTCAGTCACTCATCCTCTCCACGCTTCCATTCCTACCTCAGTGCAAGCTCCCACCATCTTTCTGAGGACAGTGTTTAAATCTGCTGACTAGTATGCTCATTTGCCATCACAGCGGCCTTTTTGTTTTCTAAAACCGCTTTTTAAAAATTTTTTTAGTTGTCAATGGACCTTTATTTTTTTCTATTCATATGTGGTGCTGAGATCAAACCCAGTGCCTCACACATGCTAGGCAAGCGCTCTACCACTGAGCCACGACCCCAGCCCCTCTAAAACTATTTTAAAAATTTTTTTTAGTTGTTAATGGACCTTTATCTAATTAATTTATTTGAATGTGGTGCTGAGAATTGAACCCTATGCTCCACACATGCTAGGCAAGCACTCTACCACTGCGCCACTACCCCAGCCCCTAAAAAACATTTATTTAACTGAAGTGTAATACCTACATCAGGGCCATCTGCCATCAGAGTTTCCCTACTAGTGGGTCCTGGACCAAGAAGGCCCTTTCCTCCCCTGCTTCACAGTCCAGCTACCTCCTTCTCTTCTTTCATACCAGAGCTCAAATCAAATGCTCAAATACCAGAGCTCAAATCTCCCAAGGAGGCTTTTTTTTTTTTTTTGGTACTGGAAATTGAGCCCAAGGGCGCTTAACCACTGAGCCACATCCCTAGCCCTTTTTTTGTATTTTATTAGAGACAGGGTCTCACTGAGTTACTTAGGGCCTCAAGTCGCTGAGGCTGGCTTTGAACTTGTGATCCTCCTGCCTCAACTTCCAGAGCCACTGGGGTTACAGGTATATGCCACCATGTCTAGCCCAGGGTGGCCCTTCTGAGCACCCTGTACCCCTTCTTCACAAAACTGACCACTGTCACAGCTACATGCATCCCAGAGCCTCTTCCCCAGCGGAATGGCAACTGCTTGCTCATTATGGCTGTTATCAGGCAGAAGCATGTGGGTGGGAAGCACAGAAGATGTCCTGAATGCTCAGTCCCCCCTCTCTAGGAGGCCCACATCACCCAGCTAGGAGGGTGGACCTCAGGTCTGGCCTGAGACTAGACAGGATAAGTGCCTTAGGGCTGGGAGGTGGGAATCTCACTTAGCTGGGGGACACTTGGGTTTAAGTCCTGGCTCCTCCACCCACAGACCCTGTGATCTTGGGCAAGCTCCTCGACCCTGTGAGACTCAGCAACCCAGGTGAGACAAGAGGGTAGAAATAACTCACTTCTTGGAAAGGCTCTGAAGGGGGAGGTGGCTGGCCCCATTTCATCCCTGCAACTTCCCCTCAGAGTAGCTGCCTGCACTGCCTTCCCTTGAGAACCCCCATCTGAACCCCAGGTCCTGGGGGAGCCATGCTTGGGATCTGGATGTTGGGACACCTGCCACTGCCTCCCTCTCTCCTTCACCCTGTCTCTACAGGGTTGCTTTCTCTCCCTTGCTCCTCTCTCTTTCCACTGCGTGTTGAATTGTGTACACTCCCTCAAAAAAAAAAAAAAATTCAAATGTTGAATTCCTAACTCCCAGTACCTCAGAATGTGACCATATTTGGAGCTGAGGTCTTTAAAGAGGTGATTAAATTAAAATGAGGCCGTTAGGGTGGGCTCTCATCCAATCTGGTGTTCTTATAAGAAGAAATGCAGATACAGAGATACCCGGGATGCAGAGGAAAGGCCACATGTGGACACTGTGAGTGGGCAGCTGCCTGCAGGGCAAGGAGAGAGGCCTCAGGAGAAGACAGCCCTGCCAGAACCTTCATCTTAGGCTTCCAGCCTCTGGAACTATGAGAAAATAAACGTCCACGGTTCTATCCACCCATTAGATGGTATTTTGTTATGGCAGCCCTAGCAGCTGAATACACTCCCCCTTCTTGTGCCATGAACAAGGCATTGGGGTACACAGACTCTCCAATAAGGGGGTGATAGTGACAGATACAATTTGGAGGGACAATACTATGAAGAGAGTACAAGAGCACCAAGCTCAGACCTGGGGGTCAGGGGAAGCCACAGGGAGGAGTGGCATATAAGACCACGTCAAAGGGCCAAAGGGAGCTGGCCAGACAGAGGGCAGGAGAGGATCCGGCAGAGCAGCATTTGCAGCTATGTAGATAGGAGACGAGCACCAGGGACCAATAGGAGTTAATTTTGGGTGGAAGGTAGGTAGTGGTTGGTCATAAAATAGGCCAAGCAGGGAGAAAGTGCCCTTGGTTGAAAGGCTGTCTAGGGACTATATTTCCCCATGCTCAAACTGTTTTAATCCTCTCTGAGTCCCCTGGATTCACCAGATTGCTGGAAGGGCAGTCAATTCCAAGTCCATCTTCCCAGATCTGACATTGCAAATTGCAGGTGGCCTTTTAAGGGTGATGACCCCCCACCGACCAGAACTACTGAGAATCCACTTACCTGGGAAATAATGCAATTTGGTGCAGGGGGTATAGGCCGGCTTGGGGGAGGCCTCCTGGTTGATTCTTTTCTCTCTACTTGAAACTCAGTCCCTGGGGAGTTTCTGGTAGCCCTGTTCAGATGTATTGGCAATGGTACAGGTGGGGATCCACCATGCAGATAGTCTGGAGGGGGCCGGGGAGGAGGCTGGGAGGGCTTTCTCAGGGTTTCAGGGGTGTTGGTCACCTGTAGGCACAAGACAAGGATCACCTGAGATAAGGATTTAAAAACTCAGGGGTGCCCTGGGTGGGCATCGCATGGAGATGATCAGAGCCCAGGGATAGACAGATACGCTGACCTGTTACAACCCCTGGGATCCTAGAAATCAGACCTTAAAGCCATTGGTGGACACCAAAACCAATTGCTATGTCTCTCAAGTCATTAAGATGGCTTTTATTACCAGTCCCTTGGGCCTACAGAGACCCCTGGGAAATTTAACAGGGTCCTGAGGAATAAAGGAGAAGTAGCAAAACTCAACCTCCAAGCCCTTACCTTTCGCTTTCCCTGGGGTGTCTGCAACTTGAAAGTTGGGTTGGCATGACCAGATCCATTGTTTTGAGACACTCTGAAGGGACAACTGGAAACAAGGAATAGAGGAAGAGAAGAGGGGATGTTCAGCAAGGAGCAGAGGCTGAGTCCCTCTGACCCAAACACGGCCAACCCACTGCTAAATCTTCCTTAGTGTACTCCAGAGGAAGTGGGACTGGTCCGCTCTCAAATTCCGTCTCCCTATGTAAGGACATTTGGCATGGTCAATGGAGAGCTGCTAAGCAACGAAAGTTGGCCTGACACAAAACAGAGCTTTCTAAGCACCTTATCTTCACCTTCTGTAGATCTTTCCTCCCTACAGAGATACAAGAATTGTCAACCAATTCCCCTCAGGCAGGGGTTCAGAAAGACCAGAGATTAAAAATTCCCTCCAGGACAAATGTAATTTAATAGGGGACTCAGAACGTACATTACGATATCCTAAGGATGGCATCACTCTGCAAAAAAATTAGTCTACATTGGACTGATGTCCAGCCACCTCTGTAATGACTGGGCTTGGGCAAGTCATTTCTTCTCTGTTGCCACAGTTTCCTGCTCTTTAAAATGGGGGCAAATCAATTAGATAAAGGATGACAAATGATTTTATCTCATATTCCAACTTTAGTTGGTTGGGGGCATTCTGCAGAGGATTTGGAAGTGATGACTAGGCTCAGTAGAGACTATTACAATGAGATCATCTTAGTAAATGTCTGGCATGGTCACAGAACATGACACAAAGGAGACAGCGGCACGAACTCTACATTCATCTTCCCTGAATCAGACCCACCACCACCACCCTTCCAACACATATTGCTTACGGAGAACTTTGTGATCCAGAAGGGAACCCCAAGTCATTGATGGCACCCTGTCCTACCTGAACTGCTGCCTCAGCTTGAAAGGGAGGGCCGAGGGCTTGAGCTGGCCCAGCTTATTGTTCTGTTTGCAGCAATAGTACATCAGCGTGAGGACCGCCAGCACGAAGAGGGCTGAAAACACTCCCGCTATCACAGGACCAACACCTTCCAGAAAGAGAGCTCAAGTGAGAGACTGAGGAGCTGGTTGAGCTCCAGCAAAACAATATATTCCTGATTCTTCTTCAGACTTGATTTGCATTTAATTTGCATTGCTTATTTAAGCTTATAAATTATGATGAAAATCACATATTATGTACTACTAGGACACCACTAATATTAGCTTAAACAGCTAGTTAACTTGCTTCAAGGGGACCTTATAATATAAATCTGCCACGGGCACTTTGGTCTAATTGAAGATAGTCTTTTTTAAGGCAAGCAGATCAAGCCCTATTATCATGTGTCACTAGTTTCTAGACTGAATCGTGATTTTTCCTGGATACCAGGCAACCAACACAAAATACTGACAGACGCCTACCCTTCATCCACGATTTCACCAAAACTGACTCAATCTTCTCATGAATTATAAATTTAAATGCACAAAGTACCTTTACACCAATGAAACACTGCTTTTATCAGTTTTATATATTGAAGCTTCTTCCTTGAAAGATTTTATTCTTGAAAACAGTACCTTGCTACTATTAAAGGAAAAGGTTCAGAAACCACAGGGCTAGAGTATCTGAGATTTCCTACTGAAACAACTATAAGTGTTCCGAGTGTTCGGTTTCCCACTTTAACCTTTGTTTATGCAAAGAAGTCTAAACTACCAGAATGTACCCCACAGTAATGTTTACTTTTAAGTACCCAAAATAGGACTAGTCACCACCCCGTCCCACCAAAAAAGGATGTGACTATTCAATGACCTATAGTCTCTCTTTATCTCTCATTCCACTAAGCAGGATCACCTCCTCAGTAAAAGGACAGACAGAGACTGAGCCCAGTCCCCAAACCAGTTGCTGGTCTCAGATCCCTCCTCCCCCCACCCCTTTATCTTGGTTCCCTCATCTACAAAATCAGGAGTATGCATCAGTCTCAGTGCAGACACTCTGCAACATGCTACCTGTCCCCATGGTGCCACCCCTCTTACAGCAGGCAGGGGACTCACTCTCGGGGGGCATGGGCCCACTGTCGATGCTGCCTCCTTGGCCCGGAGTGTTGCAGAAGGGTGGTGCCCAGCCCCGGAAGCAGTGGCAGTTCTGATTGTTGTTGCAGACCTGGGGTGAGGGAAAGGCAGGGGTGTTAGCTTGCCAGAGAGCCCCAGCCTCCCACAAGGCCTGTCCTCCCAAAACCAGCCCAGGGGAGCACGCACCCCATGACCATTGCACTTCTTCCCACAGCCTTCGGTTTCAAAGAAGGAGGTGTTCCTGCACTGCCCCTCGAAGCAGATCTGCAGGAAGGAGGAAGCACAGTTGTCAGCACAGCAGACACTGGTCAGGAATTAGCAGATGGGATGTGGGTTTTGCACTTAGAACTTACAGGAACCTGAAAAGGCAGCCCACTTCAGGTTACTACTGTGGGAAATGGAAAGAGCTTAAAAAGCCAAAGATAGAACAGGAGTTACCAAAATTCTGCTATTACCTTTGTGATTGGGGAGGAAAACACATATTATATTGTTAAAATCCTAATTTAACAATTATAATGAATATTTATTCCATATTACTACTATATTGATATATATGGGTTTTTAAAGATTTTTTCGTACTTTTAAGTGGACAGAATGCTGACGATCGAACCCAGTGCCTCACACATGCTAGGCGAGCACTCTGCCACTGAGCTATAGCCCCAACCCGGATATGTATGTTATATTATAATATATATCTATCAATAGGTGCTAGTTTTAATATTATGTTTAACAATAACAATTTTGACAGCAGCCTTCTCTGTGCTAGGAACTATACCCTGGGCTTCAAAGTTCTTTATGAATTCTTCATCCATAACTCTGAGGTAGTTGACACGAATTCCCCAAGGCTTCCCTGACTTAGTCCATTTTTAATTCACACGATAACTAATGATATAGACAAAAATCAATAATAGCTGGCCCACCTAAGTGTGTCAGAAACATTCTCACTTAATCCTTAGACTACAAGTGACAGTCTATTGCTATTGCTATATAAGTTTTCTTTTCTTTTTTTTAAACTAGAGATGGACACAATATTTTATTTTCATTTATTTATTTGTTTTTATGTGGTACTGAGGATTGAACACAGTCCTTCACGCATGCGAGGCAGGTGTTCTACCACTGAGCTACAACCCCAGCCCTAAATAAGCTTTTAGAAGCCACTGAGAATGAGAAGCTGGGGAGGCCTCTCCTTTCAGAGCTCACCCTTCTCAACCTCTCCTCTCTGCAGCCTGGGTCCTGAGTGGGACTGGGGAGAGGGACTCACGTGATTGTAGCCACACTTGGTCCCGGTCATCACCAGGCCTGGGTCCAGCATGTCACCCTCTTCTTCGGGACCTCTGTAGACATGGGTGCCCCGGCACCGGATCTGCCTTCCATTCATGATGATGGTGGTGTCGATGGGGACTGCGTTGGACTCCAGGGGCCGGGCCTCAGAGCTCTGACACTGGATCTTCCCACACTTGGCATCCCTGAGCCCCAGAGAGAGGGAGGAGAGGAGATGGAATCAGGCTGGGAAAGAGCGAGGGTAAGGCAGAGCTTCAGTCTTTCTTGGCCAAGAGAGCAGGCTTGGGTGGGGTGGGGCAAAGACACAGGCGGTGAGGGTGCTTTAAGGGAGCCACCAGGGGAGACCCTGTGTAGACCCAGACCAAGGCAAGGGAGCAGGCTCTTTGTCTCTGAGCCGATCTCAGCCAGAGAAGATGCCTTGGAAAGTCCTAACTTCAAGGACAACTGCCTGACCTAAGCAATCTGTTCCCTTATGTTCTTTAGGCCACCATCCACCTAGTGCTCCAGCCAGAAGCCTGGGGACATTTCTGACTCCCCCTTCTTCCCTGCTCTTGGATTCAAGCAGATTTCGAGCCCTAACAATCCTCCCTCCTACATATCCACCCTAGCACACATCACCAACCTTTCTTCCCTGTACTGTAGGAAACTGATTTCCCTGCCTCCAGTCTCACCTCATAGGAGTTTAACCTCTCATTGCTTTCAGGCCAAAGTCTGAACTTTTCATGACCTACTTCCTGCTTAACAGCACAAGCTCATTTCTCATCATCCCCTCTTTTTTGCACCTCTAAATTAAGTATACCAAACTACCGTTAGTTCTTCCAAGTGTCAGGTTTTTTTTTCCCAACCATCTCTCTGCCTAGAACACTCTTCTACACACCAGCACCATCCCTGACCCTGCTGGTTTAGATAATTGCATCATAACTGTGCCTAGGTATAAGTTCTTTGGGAAACCACACCAGGCCACTAAGTCGGGTTGGGTGTCTCTCTCTCCACATTCTCAGTATCACATTGTATTGCTGATTAAAAGCTCTACACACTCAGCACAGTATCTTGTGCATGGTAAACCTTCAATAGATAATGGTTGGATATATGGATGGGTAGATGGATGGATGGAGAGATGGATGGATCCAGGTGTTAGATGGGTGAATGGATAGGTGGATAGGTAGATGAATGGATGGACAGGTGAGTGGATGAATAAGTGGATAGGTAGATGGATAAATGGATATATGGATGGGTACTGGGTAGATGACTGGGTAGATAGGTGAATGGATCCAAGTGGTTGGATGAATGGATGGATAGGTGGCTGAGTGGATGAATGGATGGATAGGTGGATGGAGATGGATGGATGGATGGATAGGTACATAGGTAGATGAATAGGTAGATAGGTGAGTGCATGGTCAGTTGGAATGAATGAATGACAATGAGTCACTCAAATAAGGACATAAGTGCATTCAGTACAAATGATCTCAGAAAGCCAATTCCCTCCCTCCTATTGAAAAACAGGCTCAAAAGGAAGCCTGATCAGCTTTCCATCAAGCTTTGCCAACCCTCCCTCTGATTCCATAGGGCTGACTGGTATACTGTTGAACAGCAGGCCAAGAATAGAGACTTCAGCTGACTTGGGTAGAGGCCCAGCTCTAGGACCAGTGCTCTGCTGAGCTGGGAAGGAGAAAGGCAGACAGAGCAGGATTTACTCTGTCATTCTTCTTCTCATGGGGTCTACACTACTCATCACCTCATGTTGCACTTCTTGTGTTCGCCGTTCATGTCCTTCCCACAGTTTCCAAAGGTGTCTCCTGCCACATTCACCTTCTCAAAGCACAGGTCAGGGGCAGGCCGGGCTCCTGGGTGTGCAAGAAACAACTTTTGTCAATACACTAGCCTGCCGAAAGCCCCCAGGGCAAAGCTAGCCTTTGGCAAAATCAAGAGGTTAAGAATGTTTTTTGGGGGGAGGAAAAACTCAGTCTCTTTCTGTTCTCTTATCAGGCTATTTCATTCCCATTTCTCATCAAGACCAATTCGTAGAAAATGTCTGATATCCATTTTCATGCCCCACTGAGGATTTATATCTCTGGGGGTTTGCATGCTAGGCTAATGAAGAAGAATTGCCATATTTTAGGATTTTAAAAAAATGATAATGCATACACAAAAGTATAAACATATGGCATGGCTTTGGAATTTTTCCTCAGCCATTCAATCTCTATTCCCCTTTATCCTGGAAAGGCAATAATTATTAACAGTTTACTTTCAGAGAGAATTTTCTCTCTCTCTTGTGTGTCTCCCAGGTACAAAATTCCATGTGTACCTTCTAGAGAAAATCTATCTAATAAAGAACGGAAGCTTATTGTATCCAATGTTCTGTGTCTGGCATTTTTAGTTAATTTTTTGTGGGGGATGATTTTATTCACCATGCAGAGCAGCCTTCTTTCTATTTCTTTAGCTGTATAGCTTTCCATTGTATGAATTTTTCAGAATTAGTTTAATGGGTTCCTCTTAAAGGACATAGAGGTTATAATGCTGTAACTAACAACAGCACTATAAAAACATCTTTGTAAATTTATCTTCACATAGATAAGCAAGTACAAGTGTAGGCCCTAGGCTGTTTCCCAGCAGTGGAACTGATGGACCCAATAAGTGCATTTAAAATTTTGATATCTCCGAATTACTTTCCATAGGGATTGTACCTATCTCTTACTTTCACATCCTCCACAACACTATATATGATCACTCTTGTTATATTATTATTTTATCATCAATACTCTTAAACTAACTTTCAGTCTTTAAAATCTGATACATGAGCAATTCCATCTGGTTATAATTTGTTTTCCTTTAATATGACGAGGTTAAACAACTTTCCATAGCTTAGGGGCCATTTTCATTTGCTTTTCTGTCTCTTATCATCTGTTCATTTGTCTTTTGGATTCTTGTCATCTGTTTGTCCCATCTGAGAACTAAAAGCATCTAGGGTCTGGGAAGAATGCTGTCCATTCATCTTCCCTGAATATCCACCCAGAGTCCAGGCCGTGAAAGAGGTGGTATCCAGGGGTGTTCTGAAGCCAAGATGGTAAGCCACCCGAGGGACTGGAGGGGAGGCTGGCTCTAAAGTTCTGGGGGGAGGGGGGCTGTGTTCCCCAGAAGAACCCTTACCAGGACCCCACAGCTGCTGGCACTGCTCCTGGTAGGTGAGGCACATGCCATTGTAGCAGTAGGCCTGGCCGCCCTCGCAGGGGGTGCCGTCCATCTGGTAGAAGTTGGTGGGGCAGTGGGGAGACTTGCCCGTGCAGTACTCTGGGAGGTCACACTGCCGTGCCTGCTCACGGCACAGTGTGCCAGGAGCCAGGAGCTGAATTTGAACGAGATGGAGGAAAAACAGTCATTTTATTGCTTGCCCTTAACCCCATTAGCCAAGGGCTTGTGAGCATCACTCTTGCAGAACAGAATGTTCTAGCCACCAGGGTTATATCATAGCAGTTTTTACCCCATGAGCCTTCTAATGCAAACAGTGACTCCAGAGTTTTCAAGGTGCTAACTCACTTCCTCTTTGCAGCCATCTTAAGTAGAAATAGGTCAGAAATAACATTTATGCAACAGTTTTAGGGCTTACTATGTGATTTAGTAACAACAACAAACTTCATGCAGCTCCCACTCAAGTTGCCCAGTGCCAATAATAGTGCATTTAGTTTTCCTGATAGTCCTATGTAATATAATTGTCCCTGTTTTACAGATGATAAAACCTGAGGTTTAAAGGTAAAGTAATTATCCAGAGTCTCACAGTTAGTCATGGCAGAGGATCCAGGCCTACTAACACATTCAAATATACACACACAGCATTCCTACAGCACCTCTGGATTTATAAAGCATTTCAGCAATAATGCATTCCCAGAACTGAGCCAGGTACTGGGCTAAGTATGTTATATACACTTATGCTACCCATGAGCTATGTGCTGCTATTTACCCCACATTGCAGATCAAATAACCTGATTAGTAATAACACTCATCAGGAAAATAGTAAAACCTGAGCTTCCACTTAAGTAGTTATTTTTGTTTTCTTGTGTTTTTTTTTTTTTTGGTTCTGGGAATTAAATTCAGGGGTGCTTAAACACTGAACCACATCCCTAGCCCTTTTTATTTTCTATTTTGAGACAAGGCCTCACTAAGTTGCTTAGGGCCTTGCTAAGCTGTTGAGGCTAGCCTCAAACTTGTGATCTTCCTGCCTCAGCCTCCTTACTTGCTGGGATTATAGGCATGCACCATCATGCCTGGTCCTATTTGAGTCTTAACAGCCCCCCCCCCCCGGGTGATCCATGTTATTAATACTGATAAAGAACCTAGACTCAGTTAATAAGTCCCCCAAAGTCACACATCCCGGGCTTGAAGTCAAGGTCTCAGACACCAGGAATGCTTTGTGAGTCTCAGACTGAAATCCTGGCACTAAATGAAATGATCACACTCCATGCTTATTCTTAGGCTTGGGTCCAAGGCTGCAAGGACTTGACCCAGCACAGCCTCCCTGGGGGACACAAAGTCATACCAGAAGGTCTGCAAATTCCCCCTGAGCGAGGCAAGAAAACTCAGGACTGAGGACAAAGCCCTCCTTTGCTCCTGGGTGACTACACACCAACCACAAGGTCCTCCCAAGAGAGAAGGCAGTCGGGCCCTTCTGCAGGCCATGCTCAGGCCAAGTTACTTGCTGAAAGACAGAGGCCCCAGTTGCAGTGGTGAGCAGGGGCAGTGTGTGGAGGAGAAGCTGCAAGGCGCACATATCTCTACCAACCTGGAGCAGGTTGGAAGCAAAGAGGAGCCATCCTGAAGCCAGTTTGCCGGGTCCAAATCCCAGCTCCTTAACGATCCCATCACTCCCCCAGCATGGCAGCTGAAGCCTGGCCACACCTGCCTCTCACACCCTAGCACAGCAGTCACCTGTCAGGTCAGGTCCCCAGGGAACAGGTCCACTTACCTTGCACTGGTGGCAGCAGGAGCCATGAGCACACTCGGCCCCTTCTCTTAGGGTGCAGTTGGAGGCATTGCAGCAAGGGTTGTTACATTCCTGAGGAGGCAATGAGTGTGCGTGAGTCTCTGGACAGCCAGGCAGGCATCAAGAATGAGAGTCCTCCTGGCAGGCGGCAAGAATGAGAGCCCTGCAGGGGGAGGGCTTTTGCCACCTCCCCAGCCCTGCCCCATGTGCCCCTGCAGCCCCTGCTCCCTAGAATTCCTTACCAGAACATCATTCAACAGCTTTATCATCAAGGTCATGTGCACGTATCACAGACTGTACACATATGCACAATCCCCAGGGGCACCACGGAGAAGCACAATATTTTGAGTGTGACAATTTTCCCAGGGAACAGGTCCACTTACCTTGCAATGGTGGCAGCAGGAGCTATGAGCACACTCGGCCCCTTCTCTCATGGTACAAATTTCCCAATACATATGTGTATGTGATTATAGTTATTTTACAAAATCATAGTATTCACACTGCTTTTAATACAACTCCCTCCTTTCTGAAGGGTCTGGGCTCATCTCTGAGCTGATGGTAGTGGGGGTGATATCATCTTTAACTTCTGAACGTTACATGCTCATATTTAACAAAAAAAAAAAATAGCCCACCACAGAGGAAGTTATAAAATCAGATTTTTCCACATACACAGACCCTCACTTTCACCCCTATCATGTACTGTTACTTATGTATTCTTCCCCAATTATTATGCATTAACTGACATATTTTCATCCTTCAAAAAATAGAGATGAAACAACCCAGTTCTGCTTTTTGCAGAACAACATGCTTCTGTTAAAAACTACAGAGCTGGGCTGCAACACCCTCCGCCCTCACTTTGAAGATGAGAAGTAAAGAAGGAGCGTTCTGCCCCTTCTTCCTCTTAGCAGCCCTTCCCAGCCTCGCCGGCACTTCCTACATCCACTTTCAATCATCCCTTCTCCAGGCTAAACAGCATGAGGCTTGTTATTTTAAGCAGCCTCCTAAGGCTCATGTTCAAGTTCATAGACCCAGCTGTGCAGCCTCCAGAATAAATTCAGTGCAGCTGGAGGGCCAAGGAGGCCACTGGGGAAGAGAGAGACAACATGCCACAGGGTCGTGGTTTCTGGTTTGACCAGATGCTCACAAAGGCAATGCCACCCTGATCTTGGACACAAATAGTTCAACCAGAGAGAGGCTGCAGAAGCAGTGCACCTGGAAGGCTTCTGCCCACACCTGACACGCGGTGGGGTCTTTGATGGTCACGTGTAGGAAAGGCCTATGAAGAAGTAATTCTTTACTGCATTCTCTTTGGATCTGGAGCTTTGAAGCCAGGGCAAATTCTTCCCTCCTTCTAGCACCGTCTTACCTCTTCCTCCCCACAGTCGCACTCTTCCCCATCTTCCAGGTACCCATTCCCACACCTCCGGCCTCCATACAGTGTCTTCGTGTCTGGCATGTTGGAAAGACACATGCCACCGCCTGATTGCAGATACCTGTCCAGTTCCCTCCTATTGCATCCATTGAACACTCGGGGGAAGGGGTGCCTGGTGGACAACAAGGCTGGAATTGGCTGGGGGTCTGCTACCCGTGAGGCTGACTCCACCTGGTCACAGACCCCCTAGTTCCTCACACATACATTTTCCCACTTAGAACTTTCAGACACACTAATTTTGAAATCTTTCATGGTTAATCATGAAATACTAACCATGCCATAAGGTTTAATTTTTCTTACTCTGTATGGAAAACATATTTGAGAATTATTACAGCAGTATCTGCCTTTGTATGAGGGAGGTGCAATAAGCAAAGGGTAACGCACACCTTACAACAAGGCCTCCAGCTTTAGAACTGAACAAAATATCACCCAACCCAAAATTTTACTGAAGCTGATATCAGATGGATATTCTCTGTGATGGAAGAACAGTCAAAAAAGGTCAAGATCATAGGTTAATTTTTTTCACGAGCTAGTAATATGTATGCAGAGCACACTTTGTACTAAACTATCAAACTCACAAACTTGTGCTCTTTATCTTACAAGAGCATGAAAGTTCCTGGGTCCTCTGCTGTTAGGAAAAAGAAATGAAAGTACAGCAGTTCTCCCTCATCCACAATTTTGCTTTTCATGGTTTCAGTTACCTAAAGCCAATTGTGATCTGAAAATATTAAATGGAAAATTCCAGAAATAAATAATTTATAAGTTTTAAATAAATTTTATTATAGTTACATAATTATATAGTTAATTATTGTTATAATTATACTACTTTATTATTAGTTATTGTTTTTAATCTCTTTCTGTACCTACTTTAGAAATTAAACTTTATCATAGGGATATATATGCAGGAAAAAAACACAGGATACATGAGGTTCTCTGTGATATGTGATTCCAGGCGTCTGGAATGTCTTAGAATGTGTCCCCTGCAGACAAGGCAAAGCTACTGTGCCACAATTTAGATCTATAAAGGGAGGGTTACCTGCTCCCAATTCTCTTAGCCAATTAAAGGTGAAATACAGAAGGGTTTCCTTCAGTGATAAGGTATGCTATAATGAATGTTAATAATTGTTAAATTAGCAAAATTAGTAAATTGGGTAGAAACAAATTAAAGTAGTAATGAATATCAACAGATCAGGTAAAAACAAATTGGAGTAGTAATGAATATAACTCTCAAATATTTGTCTACAGATACTCCTTTGAGATTAGAAGAGAAAGGGGTGAATTTCCCCTTGAGCACTTGGGCTCTGAGCATGATCTGTGGAGTTGTATCCTCCATTCAATACCATCCATTCGGTGTCACAGCTGAGAAGGGAAGAACAAACACTGGACACCAGAGCTCCCAGAAAGCAGCATTTCATCCTGGAGACACTGAAACACCATTCTCTAAGAAGCATGGCGGACTAATGGTTTATGGCGAGGAACATAAGGTCCACCATGATGCCTTCCACTGAGACACTTTGGTCCTGGAAGAACCCAACCAGATAACTCCATATCCAGACAACTTGAAGAGAAGTCTTCTTTCAAAGGTTCTGGTTTAGAAAATCCCTCCCAACTTCAAGGAGATACAGCTGCTTTGTCTTTTTTTCCTTGTGGATAACAACCTGCAAATTCCCTGAAGAGTCACTGTAGGGTATGTGGATGGTCCCCTTCCTTCTACTTGTTCTGGAAGCTACATCAGAGCTTTGATGCAAAGTCTGGGATGTAAATAGCACTAACTGAACTCTTTGGAATGGAAGGACCAATGGCTAAGGCTGTGATCACAGTGGGTCCTCAGAATGGATAAACAACATGTGTGGTCAGGCCAATTTTGCAGCTGAAGACCCTAAAACACAAATTAAGTATATCTAGGGTTCCACCAACACCGGAATTCCTACTAGGAATCTAGTACTTCTTCTAAACACTTGTCTTCTTGGTCCTCTTCCAATTTCTTTGTGGTAAAAACCACATTCTCTGCTAAGGCCCTACTAGAGGTTTAACAGAGGCTCTCTGGGACCAGCTGGGAGGAAAATTTAGGTCACCCTGGATGTGCATGCCTCACCCTCCTCCCCATCCTCACCCTTCCTGTTGACTCACCCAGTGGCGGCTGCCATGATGCACCCACCATCAGCTGCACTGGCTGAGCAGCAATCTGCAGAATCGTGGCTCATACCAAAATTGTGGCCCATCTCGTGGGCCATGGTGGCAGCCACACCAATGGCATTTTCAGAGTGGTCCTGTTCAGGGAGAGAGTTTAGGTCAAGGTCAAGGGGACAGCTCCTCCTCACCCTATCTCTTGTCTTTTCCTTGTCAAAGCCTTGCGACTCCCTATGGATTCCCCAACAACTGAGCAAAAGGCTCTCTATACCTGCTTTCAACAGCAAGTTTAGAGCCTGTTATTATTAGGAAATCAAATGCTTAAAAGTTCCTGTTTCTTGAGTTCCTGAAGGTTGTAGACCATGTCTGACCATTGATGAATTCCCAGACCAATATTCCCAGTGTTTTCTGAATAAATGAAAGACAAGGATTTCCTCCATTTTTCCTCTTAACCTATGTACCTCTTCAGGATGTAGGGCAATTGACAGGGAAACCCCACCTTGGATCAATCATAGGGTACACTTGACTCAGTGTCTTCTGAGAGCCCCTGGTGCAGCATGTGCCACTTAATGCTCAAAAGCAAAAGCTACAGAAATAGGAAGAAAACAAGCAGAGCTGGCACAGTGATTGGCACCTATAGCCTCAGCTACTCAGGAGGCTGAGGCAGGAGAATGGCTTGAGCCCAGGAGTTAGAGGCCAGCCTGGGCGACATAGTGAGCCCCATCTCAAAACAAACAAAAAATGAACAGCAAAACAGAAGCAGCAAAATGATTTATTAAACACATGTTTGTTATATAATTTCATTTAATTTCCATTCTTACCCAAATATTATAAACCATAAAGTTATCTTTATTTTTACAACTGAGGACACCTGTTAACTCATCCAAAGTCACATGGATGCTCTTTGAAACTAATCCCTTTGGACTCCAGATCCTGGATTTTTAACCTTTATGTCAATAAATAAATACAGGATGGGTGGAGGGATGGACAAACAGATGGATAGCAGCCTTCCTGATATCTACTCGCAGGTTAGAAATGAATAGTCAAAACACTCTCCTAAAGTCAGAGAGAATTTCAACAGAAGTTTCCTAACTGTGATTTTGAGATGGGCTCTTGTTTCATAATGACAAAACTGCAAGCTCTCGAATAAAAAAAAAAAAAAAAACTAACTATCTTCCTACTATCCTCCAGCCCCTGATGATGGACTCATGCAATCTCTCAGGCCTCTCCTGCGCTTGAAAATCAAAAATAAACTACAATAAATGAAAATTCACCCCTGAGTACCTCTACCTGTGAGAATTAAATGACTTCATTTTAAACAATTGCCCTTCTTGATGTGAAAGCTTTTCACTTTTGCAACCGTAAATATCAGATTAGTTTTTAAAAGATGACTTCCTGTCTTGGGAGAAAGTTTTATTAAATTCTGTGGCCCCAACGTATTGACTGAGACTTACCATGTTGACCCCTCCCGATTGGTATACGGAGCACATGGCCATGAGGGGGGCCAGACCAATGGTGGTACCGTGGAAGGACATGCCCCTGTAGGAAGGAAAGAGAGGTGACTCAGGTGGGGGCTGGAAGGGCTGCTCCTATGTGTGCAGGAGTGGGTGACATTCCCAGCTCATTCCCAAGGGGAGGGGCTCTGGTGTCCTGGCCATCTGGGCAACTTTAGGTCACCCCACCTCTCACTTCCTCTCACCTCCAGAGAATCAGATTGAATGAAAGGTCACTTTCCCCACAATGTGCCCATAGTCAATTCCCAGGAAGGAAACAGGCAGGGCCCATAGAGCTCCATCCCATTCCCTCTGCACAGGAAAAGGTCACAGGGAGGAGCGGATGGGAAGGTGGCGCAGGGTCTGATGCTGAAGTGAATCATGCCCGCTTCCACCAGCTGCCAGGGCCCCAGGGCTTGCCCCAGCTCTGTGGCACACGCCTTATGGGGCCGAGGGGTGGGGAGATTGGGTGCCACTTCATTCTCACAGGTTCTGGGGCCAAGGAAACAGCTGTGTCCCATCAGGAACCTGCAAAGCACAGCTGGGTACAAGGATGAGCTGTTTCTGCCTTTGTTTTGCAATTATGATCCTAATCTGCCCACAGCCATCCCGATTTGCCCTAGTTTAATACCTCCCTCTCTTAGCTGTATATATCCAGGGTCGGCAAGAAGGAATAAAAGAAATACCAGTGTTTTTGTGCATGCCACAAAAATGTAGTCTATTTGAAATCTCTATGGAAATGCATTATGGTACTTATCTCAACGTTTGTCTTCTTATCTAGACCTTGGAATCTCTGAGAATGAGACTATCTGGTTTATTTTGGGACCACTAGAGCCAAGCACAGAATCTCACACACGGTGGGTGGGTACTTAACAAACGTTTGCTGAATTCAAGGCAGACTTATACTCAGAGAGACAATATGCAAAGGATTATGCAAAAGAGATGCAATCTATATGAAGGAAACCCTACTTGGTATTTTATAAACTTGAACTTGGCTCTGAGGAAGTCCAACTGGAGACCTAGATTTAAAGTCTTCCCCAAAATAGTACTGTGCTTCCAAAGCTCAGGCAAAAGTTTTGGTAACCAAAGACTCTCCCTAGATGTATGTTCTGTTGTAAGTCACCTCCCATAGCCCAGGTCTTTGAGACTATTACTTTTTTTTTTTTTTTTAAAAAAAAGGTAAACCAAGGTTTAAATGATCATTGATTCAGAGCTACATCTAGGGAACTGAAGAAAAAGGGCTATATGTCCTTTGTCATAACTGCTTCAAAAATACCTTTGGAAGCCAAGACTAGTAAATGATCACCCTCAGGAGACAGTCAGGTACCTCCGCAACCCCAGAAGTGTCTGTCCTTTCTGCAGGACTGATGCAACCCAAAAGAATCCCTACCCAGTGTCTTGCTCCCACCAAAGTACACAGTGTCCACACTCTGTGTCACTTTGACCATCTCAGGCACTCAGCTCTGAGCCTCTGGGGAACCAAGTGAAGGATGACCTAGGAAGCCCCTCTCCTGCATCTGTGGTGAGAGATGAGCTCATCTCCTAGATCAAAGTGTGTCTCAAGGTAGCCATGACCAACTGTCAGTCACTCCCAACAGCCAGTCGGTTCAGCTGCTCAACTGGTTGTACGTGAGGCTAATTTTCTTAGGGAGACAGTAACCACTTCATAGAACCATTATGCCTCTTAGGCTTTTTAATATTTTCTGAGGTGTGCTGGGCACAGAGTACATGTCTGAGAAATGCCTGATGATGTGGACCTGGGAGCCTGCAGGTTCCTTGTCCAACCAACACTCAGCACTGGGGAAAGAAAGGGCAAGCACTGAGTACACGCACTGTGGGCAGAGGCATCGCAGCCAAGGCCGAGGCCACACATGTGGGAAAAGCTACTTACGTGATCAACTGAGCATTGTCATGCTTCTTCTGGGTGAGCAGCTTGCGCCTCCAACTAAGAAAGGACCAGAGGGTAGAGTACGGATTCTCTGAAACTTCACACAAGTTCCCATGAGTCCACACTTCCAAGCCCACGAGAGCGATTCGAATGTTCAAGGATCGGTAAAACTGAAAAGACACAGAAAAGATACCGTAAACGCCATGTGGGATTTATCAGCCTCTGTGTGGCCTAAGAGTTCAGAGCACAGATCTCTCTTCGCCTGTGTCTCCAAGGGCAGCAGGGACAGGAATTCTCCACACTGTTCAGAAGGGGAAAGGGGTTCTGAGAGAAATGCCTAATATTCTGGTGCAGAACTGGTGAGTGTTTGTGTAGAGGAGACATAATGTTACTTCAAACATGTCCAGGGCTATCATGTGTGAAAAGAATCAGTGTGGCTGGGCCTGGTCTTCCAGAAGGGCTGGGGTCTCTGGGCAAAACAGGCAGGATGACAAATTTCATACTAAAACAGGATGAAAGCTTTCAAACAAAGCTGGTCATGAGTAAGCTCAGAGCTGAGCTCTGCTCACTTCTGTAGGATCCACCCTTATCCTGGCTTTCTGCACAATTTTCTCTTCCTTTATCTTTTTTATATGTATCTAAAATTTTTTTGTATATGAACCTTTTAACAACAAAAAAAATTTTACTGGCTGGGTGCAGCAGCACATGCCTATAATCCCAGTGACTTGGGGCCAAGGCAGAAGACTGTTTCAACAACTTGGCAAGGCCCTAAGCAACTTAGTGAGACTCTGTCTCTAAATAAAAAATAAAAAGGGCTAGGGATATGGCTCAGTGGTGAAGTGCCCCTGGGTTCAATCCTCTATACAAAAAAAAAAAAAAAAAAAAAAATCCAAAACAACAACAACCCCAAAACCTGCAACCCTTCCCCCACCTTTACTTAGGTATAATTTACATGCCATAAAACACACCTATTTCAAGAATACAACTCAGTAGTTTTTATTAAGCTCTACCAAGTTACAGAGCTATCATCATACTCCAGTTTTAGAATGTTTTCATCATGCCAGTAAGGTCCCTCATGTCCATTTATAGTCATGCCCCATTCTAATCCTCAGTTCCAGATAACCATTAATCTTCTTTCTGTCTCCACACATTGGGCTTTTTTGAAAATTTTTTTTTTTTAATAAACAGAATCATACAATACAGGTTTTTGTCCCTGGCTTCTTTCACGTAGCATAATGTTTTGGGGATTCATTCATGTTATAACCTGTATCATTTTGTCCTTCCTTGTTATCACTGAATAAGATTCCTATGTGGATATATGAAATTATATATGGATTTTTTTTAATTAAAAGAAGACTGCCTGATTTTTGGAAGTGAATAAGTAAAATTATATACAAATAGATGGGAATAAATTTTTTATCATCAAAAATAAATGAATAATATATAAGAGGACAGACATGCTTATTCTAACAGGTTTCCTTAGAAGCTTGGGGTTTTTTTCAAGGGTTCCACAAACAGATAGTGAGCATAAGACTGCAAAGCTCCCAGGTGATCTTCAGGATTCTGTCCAAACCCAGAGACCCTGAACTTCAACAAATGAGACCGCTCAGCCTCCTTAACATTAGAGCTGCACCTAACCTCTATGCCACAGCCTCTCTCCTGTGCACAGAAGCAGGAGGAGGGTTTTCTTTATAGTGAAGGCACTGGAAGGTGTGGGTTCAAGGGGTTCCTTGATGCATCTGTCTTAGAGGCTACTGAGCTACTGAGAAAGAAAGAAAAGAAAAGAAAAGCACCATGCACTATTCACAACAGCTAAGGATGCAATCAGTCTAGGTGCCCGTGAAAGGATAAAGAAAATGTGTTTTATATATATACACAATGGATTATTATTCAACTTCAAAGAAGAATGAAATCATGTCATTTCCAGGAAACTGGACATCACCATGTTAAGTGAAAAAAGTCAAACATAAAAAGACAAGTACAGCGTGTTTTCTCTCATATGTGAGGGGAAAATGACCTGAAAGTAGAAGAGGGACTGTTAGGTAGGGGACAAGGATCTGGGTGGGGCAACAGGGAAAGGCAAGAGAGGTGGGGGAGGCATGACCAAAGCATGATACGTTAGTCAAACCCCATAATCTGTACAATTAATATCACTGATGATTATAATACTTATTTAGAAAATCATGTATGCAGAGGCCGCATGAGTCATGTGAACCGGTAAGACCATTTTAATCGAAAATTGGCAGATACTGCCCCACCTAAAAATAATAACCCAGGCCCCAATGTTTGTCAAGCATTTTGTGTTCTAACCCCAAGATGCAGATAAACAAGGAAGCCAGGATGAGGGCCCACCTTGTCACCTCGGAGCCCACTCAAGACCTTAGACGGCTAAAGGGCTGGGGTAGATACAGACCTTCTTCTTGCCCCAGAGAAATTGTGGCTCCACAAAGTATCTATGGGAATTTTGATTTTTCTGTTTTATACCACATCACTCACTCCAGAAAATAAAGGGCTTAGATTCTCATTTAACTTTGCTTCACTAGGGAGCTTTGAAAGGAAAGAGACTTGGCCTTCTCACAGGGGAAAATATTTCGACAGGGCTCATGATTCAGCAAACGAGTGCAGTTCATCTCAGCTTTCATTGAACAATCCTTTAGTTCAAGTAGCTAGGTCAGCAAACTTCAGAGAAGTGGGTGTATCTACACACACACACACACACACACACACACACACCCAGAAAGTGTCTAACCTCAGCTGCCAGGGAGAGAAGCAAGTGGTGCCCGCACAGTGGACCAGTCAGCAAAGCATGGGTTTCAACTATGGCTGGGGGTTTGTGACTGTTTCTCTTTTACTTTCATTTTTTTTCCTTTTTTTTTTCCAATCAGTGCCCCCCGATTCCATCACCTAGACCAGCTGGAGTGGTCACAAAGGGGAGACTCAGCCAAGTCAAGTCCCCCACCTGCCACGTCCCCAGGACTGGGAACAGATGTCACGTGGATGACATCAGGGTTGGCTCCTGTATATTCCCCAGGGAAACAAGCTTTCCTCATTTTCCCAGATGTTGAGTGCTTGGGTTGCAGGATTATTTAAACGGTGTTCTTCAGTGAGCTGGGAGCTGGACAGAGGACTCTGCCGTGTCTGAGTCCTTCCTTCCAGGAAATGCCAGTGTTTGACTTGCACCTGCCTTTGTTTCCAAAGCCTTTGAGGTCATCCCATCTGATGACCTTAGAACACCACCAAATTTGCTTATTAGTCCCTTTAAAAAATATATTTTAGATTCTCTTTTTTATCCTCCAATGTTTAGGTAAACAATTTTTTAAAAAATTTTAAAAATTCCCCTTCAGACTTGGGATCCATGAATCCCTAGCAGGCCCAGAATTCAGTTTTATGAGTGTCTAGAAATTGTACATAAAATTGCTATGAGATCCTCAAAGAGATGTGGGACCCCAAACATACCCAAACCTACTTTTTAAATGATATACTGTTAGCCTGACAAGAGGCTGCTGTCATACCTCTTCTGCAATCTGTACTCCAGCAAGTACCCTCTTTCACATTTACAAAGTATTTCCAAATCCCAGGACAGCGTGTTTTAGTGAAATTTAAAACTTTGAGTATTTCTTAAAAGTATGTTGTAAAAGGTCATAAGCTGGGAAACTTGACCATTTGCAGAGATAAGAAATCATTTTAGGGCAGTTTTTACAGAGGGAAACTTTGCAGATTGGCCCCAAATAAACCATTCCTCAACTTTTCCGGTGGTGTACCTTTCCCATCCTGACCTACCTTAATTCCCTCCTAATTCAAAGAATCTTTGGGCTTTATACCTGAAAGGATTCTTCAAAAACTCTCAGGCATTCTTAAACTGGGCTCCTCCATACCCTAGGGAGCTACTGCAGGGGTGAAGGAAGGGCTGAGAGGGGCAGTGCTCACCCCTGCCTCACTCAGAGCAGTGTGTTTCCATAGGACTTCTACATAGACATGGACATAAAATTTCACTTAAAAAGGATTCCACCCAAAAATAAATAAATAAATAAAGTCACTGATTTAGGCCAATTCCTCTACCTTATAAATTAAAACAAAGCAAAACAGAAACAAAAATTCCTGCAACCTGAAGATGAGCAACTTGCCTACGGTTACACAGTTCAGGGCTTCCTTATGACCACCCTGAGCCTTGATGGCACCACTTGGCCCTTTTCAGAAACCGGCTGGGGAGGCCAATGCAGCAGATGGCATTCAGGTGCATGTGATCTCCGGTCCTGAGGCGCCACTGTCGTGTTGGCACCTGTCCCACCAAGTACACACCTGGTCTCACCTTATCAACGTAGTTGGCAACCTCGATGAGCTTGTGTTTGGTGGCATCCTGGTCTCGTCGATTCTTCTGAAACTACATAAAATAAACAGAACCAGGTGAGACCCCAGAGCCCTTCCTGTACCCGTGACTTGTCTTTGAATTTCTTATTTTCTTCTGTCTTCTGTAAGCAGCCATTTTTCATCTAACTCTCTTCTCCACCACAGCAACAGCTCATGATGTACAGGACTTGGGTTATATCCATCTTGGTATGTGTACCTACCAGCTAAATGCAGGGCACATAGCAGGCAAGCAGTAATTGTGGAGTGAATTGAATTACCTTCTAACCCTTGCAATAAATCTTATTTTCCTGCCCTTCAAATTACAAAGCTTCTGGCAAACTCCCATTGAGGCTTAGAAGAAGGACTGACCTGATTCTTGCCTTGGTCATCACCCCAATATGAATCCACTGCCACATAGATCTCATGAGGCTCCCCTATATGTGTTCAATCAACACTGGTCAAACCACTGCTGAATAACAGCTATGGGCAAGACACTGTTTAGCATTAGGCAGGACACAAAGAAGTGTGAGGTTGCGGTCCTGGAGCTTCAATTAAAATGGTGAAAGGACCAGAAATAGCTAGTATAATAGATCCTGTATTTAAGGATTACACAATTAAAATGGATTAAGAAAACTTGCTGAGAAAATCTTCACAGAAATTACTGCAATGGAGAGCATTTGAATGACACTCAATGGGTGCTGACAACAGGACCATAGATATAAGCAAAGAGACTTCAGACTGCACCATTGAGATCAACCAGCAGGGCCTTCTACAGAGAACTTGGACTGCGTAAGACTAAAACCAGACTTTCTAATCAATTTCCTCTACTTGATTAGAAATGTCTGCCATGGGTACCAGGAAGATGATGTATCAGTATGAATGGACCATTACTGCCTCAAAAGGATAGATTTGTTTCAGCTGCAATAATGGAGAAAAGCTTAACAATGTAAAGATAAGATTTTTCTAAAATTGCAACTTGAATTTGCAAATGATGGGCAACTCCTGTATGTTGTCATCGTTACAAAGAATTTGGGTACCTATATGATTTACCACAGGTATGCAACATAAATGTCACTTCAAATATAAACCTTCACATTCTTCCTCTACCCCACCCCACAAGAATATCCAAGCCAAAAACAAAAAAATAAAAAATAAATAAATGAACAAACAAATAAAACATTGTCGGATATTTGTATGGCCAGGATTGTGTTCTCAGCCCTGATGCATGGAAGAAATCAACCATTTATTTTCTTCCACTGATTATGGGCTTCCTTGGAACTGTCACTCATCAGAAGGGAATCTCACTATCCTCTTTGCTTCCTATAGAGTTAAATCCTGAGACCCTGTGACATAGACCTTTCCATGTTAACCCAGAAGTTTCAATCTTGAAGCCTTCCTGATTTCTAAACTGGCCTCGTGGCACAGAAAGTATTGCATCATTTCCATTCATTTAGTAAACATTTATTAGAACATTAGGGTCAGGTTTTGCTGTCTTTCAAATATATTATCCTATCTTCAAACAATAAGGCCCAATAAGGCCACCATAGTTGGAGTGCATCATGTTGTCCAGCACAGTCTGAAGCAAGAGTCAGTAAACTTCCTATAAAGGGCCAGATAGTGAATATTTTAGTCTTTTTGGGCCATACTGTCTCAGTCACAACTACTCAGCTCTGCCTTGGTGACCGGAAGTAGCCACAAATAATAGGTAAACCAATGGGTGTGGCTCTGTTCAGCAAAACTGTTTACAAAAACATGTGGTGGGTGGCCATAGACTAGATTTGCAATCCCTTTGGCTTAAAAAATTTTTTTTCAACTTTCCATTTTGTAGGGTGACACTGAAAATACTGCATGGTATATCCATCCTTTCTCAGCTACCCCACATTCTGAGGTATCATGAAAGGCTTTTACAGCCCTGTGTTTTCAGGTGCTCTGTCCCCTCCTATGACACTATACTCTCGGTTGCTCCCCTGGACTTCTGCCTCACCTAAGGAGGGAACATGCTGAGATCCACCCCAGGAGCTCCCACCTGAGCCCAGGGAGCAGGAAGCTGCTGGATTATTTCCACTAGTGACAACTGTCTCTCAAGGCAGCAGTGCCAGGCCTCCCTGTTCCTACCCATTCTGCACGCAATGCCCTAATGCAGAGCCCAGAGAAGGTTGCCCTGTCTCAGCACCCCTGCTTCTGTGGCTGCTGGACATTCCTACACCTCCCTGGGGGTGTATCTCGGTGGCAGAGTGTTTGCCGAGCATGCGTGAGGCCCTCAGTTCCATCCCCAGCACCAGTGAATAAATAAATATATTCAAAACCCTTCTCCAAGGTTCCCCTAGGGAGACTGAAAGGCTGCAAAGGAGAAACACCCCTCCTTCCAACTGGCACAGCTGGGTTTTATATACTTCACTATTGGGCTTCTACCTGACAAAGGATTGAAAAAAGGAAGAAGAAGAAGAAGAAGAAAAGGCTCACGACCTCTTTATTAGATGATCTTAGACACAAGGTTTAAATGGAAATGTGTCCTGGAGTCCAAAGAATTCAGCTCTCTCCCAGCAACCCTCCTGCAGGGCAGGGGATGGAGCATGGCGCCTTGGCTGGCTTTGAAACTGGCTTTTGATTTTGTTCCCCACATTGCTCCCCATCCTCTGCACACACTTGCCTTTAGGAAGAAGCAAAAGTCCTAGAGAAAACACACACACACACACACACACACACATACTCTTTGCTGGAAAAAACACGTTACTAAAAAACTAAACTCTTCTCAAAGTGGAATACAATATTCCTTCGCTGGAATGCCCTTCACTTCCACTCCTCTGCCCAGTTAACTCTTCCTTGTCCTTTAACCCAGGGCCACCTCTTCCTGCCACTCACACTGGGAGGCAACTCTTCAGGCCTGAAGGTCAGCGCTCTTCCTACCATCTGACACTGCTCCAGGATCTGCGCTTTGAGATTATGCCCTGAGTAGAGCCACCTTAGAATGAGGCCTTTGGGGGAGCTGGTAACCCTGTCTGCATGGGGTACAACACAGAGGGGAGTTGTAATGAGCCCTGCCTGCAGGGCAGCCCAGGTAAGCACACCACGTGAGAACAGGCACCTGGTCATGGAGGCCCAGCGTGCAGAGGTGGGGCTGGGTTGTGTGGTTGGTTGAGTCTACAGAGGTGAGACCTGGAAGTAGCATCTGGCTAATTTAGGCCAATGGGGCTGAATCCAGTCTGCAGGTGTTCTCTTCAATATTGCCACCTCAGAGAAGCTTCCCCAAGTCCTTGAACCATGTGGGATTCTCCACTCCACGGACTCGAATCCTCCCTAAGGGATAACCTTGGTGGTTGCACAGTTAGGAACTACAAAGCTTTTGTGCTGTTGCTGCAAACTCTATGATGCCAGAGATGGGTCTGACTTCTTGAGAACTTGTATCCTGAGCATTTGGCCCACCACAGAAAATCAGGGAATCATTGATGAATGAAGAAAATGAATGAGTGAGCCAGGTAGTTTTCATCAAATTCCAGATGAAAGGAATATAAATTAAAGTCTCCCTGTTGTTATAGTTTGGATATGAGATGTTCCCCCAAAAGCTCCTGTTAATGTAGAAATATTTAGGGAAAAAAAGATCAGCAGCTCAGGAGGCTGAGGCTGGAGGATCATGAGTTCAAAGCCAGCTCAACAACTTAGCAAGGCCCTAAGTAACTTAGCGAGACCCTGACTCTAAACAAAATACTTTTTTAAAAGGTCTGGGGGATGCGGCTTAGTGGTTAAGTGCCCCTGGGTTCAATCCTTCATATCCACCCCCCCCCAAAAAAAAAAATCACATCATGACAGCTGTAATGGAATCAGCTCATCTTAGGTTGAACGGACTGGGTGGTAACTATAGGCAGGTGGGACATGGCTAAAGGAGGTGGGTCACTGGGGGCATGTCCTGGAAAGATACATCTTCCCAGAGACCCCTCCCTGCCACCCCTCTCTCTCTGCTTCCTGACCCCACCATAAGCTGAGCAGCTTTCCTCCACTGGGCCCTTCCTCCATGATATGCTGCCTTACCGTGGGCTCAGAACAATGATGTTAACCACCTATGGACCGAGACCTTTTGAAACCGAGCCCCAAATAAACTTCACCTCCTCTAAGTTGTTCTTGTTGGGGATTTTGGTCACAACAATGCAAAAACCTGACCAAGACACCTGCTACTTCTTTAGATAAGTGGGTTTCCAAAACTCTCCTGGGCACAGAAATCACTGAATTATTTAAACACAGACTGTTGGACCCCAACCTGGCAGTTTAGAATTCAGTAGGGCCCCAAGATCTGAATTTCTCACAAGTCCCTAAGTGCTACAGATGCTGCCAACCTGGGAACCATATTTTGGGAATCATGGCTTTATGTTCTCATTTGATAGCCACATGGTTATAAAAATGGACCCACACATGGGCAAGAAATTGGTATTCAGCTAGATGACAGAGAGTATATTTATTATCTCTATACAAAATAAAATTTTTAGAGAATTCATGGGCCCAGTAAGAATAAGCATCAGGACCTAAATTAGGACTTCAGACCCAGTCTGAGAAATGTCACTCCAGATAATGGCCCTACTCTTTTCCTTCTGATGAGTGTGTGGAGCTAGGAGAGACTTTTCTTGTTTTATTTTCTCTTTTTTCCCCAACTATATTAAAAATGGCCAAAAAAAGGATGGTTAGATTTAAGGTCAAAAATCATATGATAAATCAGAGAGAGATGAATGTGCCAGCATTTCCCCAAAGCAGCCCAAAGCCTGGAGTGTCAAAGCCATCAAGAGAGTAGATTCTATGCTCAAACCCATGTCCCCCTTACCTCTGCATAATCAGCCACAAGGTAAAGCTCCACGTACTTCATGGAGTGTATGTCTTCCCTTTTCATCTAAGGAAGAGATATAAGCAGATCAGAGCTATAGAAACCGTGAACTTGGCCTCATTTCAAAATCTGCTGAGAAAACGAGCTGGTGAGCTGGCGGTGAGCCTTCTTGCTTACGTTGTACTTGGGCACTAGAAACGGCTTGGGCTGTGGCTGCCATCAGCCTCACTGCACGACGCTGTCCACCTGCCATTTGGTTATTGCTGGAGGCGGCTCTGGGACATGGAATCCAGGCCTTTATTCTCAAAAACTAATGAGCTGACCTGACTAGCACAGGTAGAGGAGAGGGCGACACACTGTGAGGGAGCCTGCTGACGACCGAGTTTCCCAATACCCTTTAAGACCACAGACGATTTTCAGCATAAATAACATTTGGTGTACAAGGTGAAGTGGTTATTTCAGAAGGGGAAACATACTCTTTTTTCTTTTTTTCTTATAGTTTCTGCAATCAACATATTAGAGCATTGTGAAACTAGTAGCATTTCCCCCCAAAGTAGTTATTCTCTTATGAGGGTGTCTCACACTTGATCATGACTTCAAATAAAAAAGAAGTTCTTCCCTTCTTCTCCGCCATTCTCTTTCAATTGATAAATACTCTTGGGTTCAAAGTAAGGGTGCTCAGAGGGGACAAGCCTAGCCCCAGGTTGACTAGTGCACAGAGAGTCTTGGAACTCACCCTGCGAGGTCGTTTCTTGGTCTGGCGTGTAAACTGAAGGGCCCAGTCCCTGGTGGTGAGCTTGGAGTGCTCAAACCCACAGTTCCCCGGGGGCAGCTTGAGATGTTCGGATCTGTAAATAAGGTGTTGGCTCTCGCTGTCAGGGAGGGGCTCAATGATGTAGCTGAGGTTACTGCTCACCATGATCAGTCCTCTGTTGATAGAAGAAATAGAATATCTGGTCAAAGATTTTTTCCAGGATCCTGAATAAGTCCCTTGTACAGGCCCATAGGCATGTGGGCACAGTTGGTTTTGATCATTGGTTCTTCACCTTATTGTGGGGCCACGCACCCCTTTGTGAGGACCCGATGCAGGCTCAGACCTCCTCTCTAGAGAAATGCACTTGTAACCTGAGATGTGGCACACAATTTCAGGGCTCTGGGGCCCCCTAAATTCATCACAGGGCTTCCGGTTAAGAATCTCTGAACTAGTAAAGTCAGAAGGTGTTTAAAACGCTGGGTGCGGTGGCACACGCCTATAATCCCAGGGACTTGGGAAGCTGAGGCAATAGCATTGCAAGTTCGAGGCCAGCCTGGGCAACTTAGCAAGACCCTGTTCACAAATAAATAAAGGGCTGGGCATGCAGCTCAGTGGTTGAGCACTCCTTGGTTCCATCCCCAGCACAGAAAAAAAAAAAAAAAGTTTAAAAACTTGTACTCAGGACGGTTAAAACTGATGAAGGACTGTAGGATCAGGATCCCAAAAGGTCTCCCAAACCAAACATGGCCTATGATAATCACAGGTCAGAACTTTATAGACTCTTCCGAAAAGGCAGTGGCTGGAGAAAGCCCAATGGCCTGCAGTTAGGAGACCTGGGACTCTTTGCTTCTCAGAAAATGTCCTAAATCACCCTGAGCCTCAATTTCCTCAACCCTAAAATGAAAGCGGTAACTCACTAACTTATGAGGACTCCTAATAAAAATAAAAGGCAGCTGTCCTGGTACTTGGAAGCAAAGCTGGAAATGCAGGACTGGAGACGTTCCTGCTAGTCCCCAAGGCTCCCTGCCAGCATGGCAGCTGTTTGGTGAAGTGACACCCACAACCAGGCATGGGTGGCAATTTTTTTTTCCCTTGATCATAGATTTTAGCCTAGAATTAGAATAAAGATGTGTGCTCATTTATTTTATTCTTCCTCTCACTAAGCTTTGACCGTGTTCCAGTTGAAATCTAGACATAATCCTTGTCCTTAAGAAGCCATGGGAGATTGGGTCCAGATTCCCCAAAGATTTCAAAATCACAGTCCCCTGTACAAAATGGTGTAGAATTTTCATATAACCTACTAACACTCCATTTAAATCAACGCTAGATTACTTATAAAACCAAAACAATGCCAATAATATGCAAATAGTTGTTACGCTGTATTATTTAGGAAATGATGAAAAGAGAAAAAAGTTTATGTGTTCAACAGAGATGCAAATGTTTTTTTCAAAAATTCTCATCCCTGATTGATTGGAAATGCGGATGGATGTGAAGACCATCCATCACTCAAGGCCCATAGGAGGAAAGCCACTCACCCCACAAACATTGGCCAGGCTCCTGCTAGGGGCTGAGAATGGAATGGTGAACAAGATGGGCAAAGCCCCTGCCCTCATGAAGCAGAGTCTAAACCTGGGGACAGTGACTGCAATGGAAATGGAGATGGTAAAGAGGACTCATCAGCCCTCACACTGACGGACTGAATGCTCAGATGCTACCGATGAGGTCTCTGAGGGCTAACCCAGACTCCATGAGGAAGAGCTCCCCCTTCTTATCTGCTGCTCTCCCACATCATCAATGGCGGGATGAGGAGAGGCCCAGGCAGCAGGTATCTGCATCCTCCATGCAGTGAGATGAACACCACAGCAAGAGAATGTACCCAAGGCTCTGGGCAGAAGGAAACCCAGGAGGAAGTCCCAAGGGCCTGACAGTGCTTCAGGTACTTCAAAACCCTTCCTCAGACTCCTGTCCATCCAGATAGCACCAAACCTAAAGTGTCTCCAGCTCTGAGTCCGTCACTATGATCTGGAAGGACTTCTCTCTCAGGTCATCTTGGCCCCACCCACCCCCACCCCATTGGGATGCCTGCCCAGGTTTTGTCCTTTGGGAAAAGCCTGTGACGCTCTCAGGAAAAACAATGCCAGCCCCTGGTCTGCAGTAGCCCTGCCCAGGTCCCATCCCAGACAGCTCATTCCTGTGCCAGCGGCCTGCCCACTTCCCAGCTGCCTCACCCAGGCGGATGCAGCAGTGCCTGCCCAGCCCCTTGGCAGGTCACCTAAGGTGCTCCCACAACAGCTGGGGGTGAAGCGGAGAGAGCAAGGGTCACATCCACTCCCCGATTCAGACAGGAAAGGGCAGAAGCAAGAGTGGCTGAGGGCATCCTGTTCCCAAGCTATCTTCTCACCTCAGCTGACCAGGACATCTCCTGCCATCTTGGTTTCCCTCAAAGGCTACAAACACAGAAGGCTGGATCACAAGCCAACTGATGCTCCCGTGTGTGTGCCAGGGTGTGGCTGCTGGAATTACAGCAGAAAGTGGAAGTTTCCATGTGAGAATGGGTGAGTTCCAGTATAGGGCCACAAGGTACAGTTGACCCAGCGTCCCATGAACAAGCCTCTGGGCCAAACAGAGAAGAGACCAAGCAAAAGTCTGGAGCATGGTAAATAACCACCGTTGTAGTGGCAATAAGTTATTAAGCCTTTGCTACAGACCAGGCATTTTATTATTCACACCAACTTTTATGATCCTTAAGAATGTTACCCTTATGGCATAAATGGGAAAACTAAGGCTCAGTAAGGTCAATTAACTAACTGAAAGTCACAAAGGTAGTAAGAGTAAAAAGTAGGGGCTGGTACCTCAGCCTTCTGCTTCTGAATTCAACAGCTTTAACCATGACCTGACACTGCCTCTGTCACAATAGCTCTGTAGCATGGATCAGAAAGGCATCCCCAGTTTATAGTCAGCTGCAAAAGAAGGTGCCAGCAACTCTCTTCTGAAGTTTGATTGGCCACTACCCAACTGGCCTGTCTGAAGACGTGAGAAGGTGAGAAGACAGGAGCATTTAGTCTACATTCTGTCCTCAGACATGGTGTACTGAGAGCTCATGGCGTCCCACGTGCCGTGTTGACAAACATCACTCTTCTTTTATTCCCACATCACATTACAAGGCGTGCATCACCATGAGTCTCATTCTACAGATGAGAAAACTGAGGCTCAGAGAGATTAAATAATGAGCTCTCACAGGTACTATGGGGCTAAAGATTAAGGGCCATAGGCTCTGGACCCTATACCCTTAACCTCTATGCTATCTGCCTCCATTGGTGAGTTCCAAACCTGTGGGTTGGAGATCCCTAGGACCAGAGCTTTGGGAGTTATAAGCATATTTTACAGTGTTGCTAACACAGATGCCCAGCCACCCTAGGACTCTGCAGGCTTATGCATCTGGGGACCTGTTGTCAGGTCCCCAGATGATTCCCTGCACAACCATTCTCAGAAACTCTGGCCAGGAGCCCACACTCTGCAGTAGGCACCTATTCTGTCTCAGGGAGTATGCAGATTAGTTTGAGAAACATCAGCTTGGAAGGTCACTGAAGGTCCACCTGGCAATAGGATATTGTGATCACTCCCCTCCTTCCCCCACTGCAGCCCCTGGTGATTCGCCCTGTGTCTCAGTTACAATCCTCCCAGACAGCCTGGGGGTGGATGGTGGAGTTTCTGATAATGGGTTCTGGGGCCCTTCGCTGCCATCACCCCCAAGTCCTCTAGCCACCCTCCCCTGAGCACCTACCAGTCATTTATCCTTTTAAGAGCCTGAGTTGATCTAATTTGCTAAATGCTAAAACTGGCAGAGTTAGAGGTCAGCCAGGAGGCAGGGGAGGGGCCCGGGAGGCTGAGGGCCAGGACCTCACACGCTATTCTCCATTCTGTCTGTCCTATTCCTCATCGTTAAGAGCATGATAAATATGAAATTATATAGAGGAAGCTGGGCAGCAGGCAGTTCGTGTTTAACCCACAAATGACTGAAAGGCTCAACCAAATGCATCCCATCCATCAAGGAATTGAGCCAGAAAATTTGCCCACTTACCATTCCTGAAAATATGCCCATTTTCAACTAAACCCAGAGGGACATGTCTGACATCCCTGCATCTAGACCTATCCTAAGATGCAACCACCCTGCTCCCTTTCTTCCCTGTCTCCCCTCTCCCCCAATCTGCATCCATGTAAAAGGGAATACAGAGAACTTCAAAGTCAGTACAGAGGGAGAAGAGAAGGTGTACAGGTGTTGTGCTCCCTTGGGACAGGGTGACAGGGCACAGACAGAGAGCTTTGGCTCTGGACTGAGACACACCTGGATTCAAATTCTAGATCTACTGCCCTCAAGCTCTGTGGTCAGTTATTTGATAACACTGTCTATCTCCTGGGATCATTATGATAAAGAACTGAAGCAATGGGCAATGTTACCAATATCAAAGGTACCATTTTAAAAGAATAGCTGATAGTCATTGGGCACACTACTGTACACCAGGCAAGGTCAATGGTTTCTTCTGTAGCCTTTTGACACATTCACACTGGTCATCTGCTATGGGTCAGGAAGAGCTCCAACCTCTGGGATACAGCATAATCAAAACAAAGTCCCAAGGAGCTGGTGCCCATCACCTAATAGAAATCCACCAGTGACATCAATATTGATGTTCCTACTTGACAGGTGAGAAGATGGGGACTGGAGAACTGTAGTGGCTTGTCAGGTTTTAAAGCAGGATCATTGCCTGACTCCAGATTCTAAGGTTGCACATGGTAATGGTGTTGCCCTCTGGGGGCTTAACTCACACAGTGACTGACACAAAGGGAACATTTATTATCTATTCTGCAGGAGGAAGTAAGATTTTCAAAGTGGAAAGGACCATGCCACTTCTTAAGGGCTAGCTGCGTAGACCCAAGCCACCTCCTTCCACTCCAGCCCCCACCTCCCTGAGATTCTGCCCCTTCTCTCTGCAGCCCAGAGATTCCACAATAAAGGGTATTTTTGATGGTCTGGTCTTCCCTGCTTTGATAGATGAGAAGAAAATCTGGAAAAAAAAGGAACTTGCCCAAGGTCAGCCAGTGAGTTACTGCAGAGCTGGGGCAGATCCCAGGTCTCCTAATGCCCAGGCTCATTCTGACAGGATGGAGTCCACACACTTACTGTCCAAACCCACCTCCAGAACTAAGCCATCTATCTGTAGGACTAAAGGTAGGCAGGATAGAGAGCTTTCACTGTTTTTAGTTTATATGTTCCTGTGCCATTTCAATGTTTAACATTAAACCTGTATTACTTATAGAATGACAATTTTCAATAAGTATTGCCTTCAAAAATCAACAGCTCAACAATCAGGCACCCCTCCTGCTGACAGACCACGAGCTAGAGACACACACACTCATATGCACAGTTTCCCAGGATGCACAGGCTCAAAGACACTTCATCCCTGACCTCACTAGATTTCTTCACAAATACTAATCACTCCTGACATGCAGACCAAGTGTCAGTTGCAAAGCTGTTGTACATGCAAGAAGTTGTGGTAACATCTAGAGGCTTGTCCTTACTTCATCTGAGACAAGCTTGGGGATGGGGACACTTGGCATTCCTAATAAAATGGTATGTCACATCTTTTTATGTGTGTAGTGTGTAAGTATCCATGGCTTCCACCCAATTCTCAAAGGGGTCAAAGGCTCATGTAAGATTATAAAGCACTATCTTACACGTCCAGGTTCTTTTCTGCAAGGAATATTTCCATAAAGGACACACAAGAAGCCAATAACAATGCTGGAGGTGGGGACTTAAATCTAGAAATCTGGGGTGAGAAAGAGACTCATCTTCCATTGCACATTTTTTAAATACTATTTGAATTTATTTTTTCTATGACCAGGAATTACTTCTTCAGTCATAAAACCACCCACAGAGCTGCTTTGGAGAGAGGAGGGAACCCAGGAACCATCTGGAAGCTCCACTGAATTCCTCTAGCTTTGTATCATCAGCCTGATGATCCCACTTGGTATATATCCTGCCCCTTTTTCCCCATCACAGGAGCAGGTTTCCAGGAGAGACAGGATCACAATGGAGATTCTGCACTGCAGCCTGGTTCTATGAGCCTTAGGGAACAACTTGAGTCTGAGCATCTTGGGTTTGAGTGCTGCTGCTGTGGCAGCTGCTCCCCCTCCAGGGTCCAGATGGAGCCATCTGGCATGAGTCTCCAGCTCTTAAGTCGGGCTGCCTACAACCTTGGTTCCTTAAGGTGTGCAGTGACAAGGCTGAGAAAAAAACGCTGGCGGGCCCCACCAGACGGAAGCACACTAAGCAGAAACACTTGGGCAGCTCACCCCATTTCCCCCGTCAGCGTGGCTGCTGGAATGATTTCCAAGAGGCCATGCCAAGTTCCCACTGCTCCAGACGGAGGGGACAGAGGATGAGGCAGAGAGAAGCAGGTCACACCTGCATGCTCCCTTTCCTCTTTCTTGGGAAGGACTTTGTTTACTTGCAGACTGCAGGTGGTGGTGGCTGGGCCTGTAAACACCACTGGGGCCAGTTGGCTTGGCTCAACCAAGTTGCTTGAGTGGGGGATTTGAGGCCACTCTGTTAATCACCTCCCGGCCAAAACCTATTTCCTGCCTGATTCCCTCTGGTGACTCACCACATGGCCTTCCAGAGGAGACATGGCCCAATTCATAAACAGACTTGTGGGGCCTGCAGGGAGAGGGGCCTTCGATTTTTATGGGAATGTGGCTGTCTTAGCATGGTTTCACTGTCATGGGATGATATGTCTGCCATATGCCTATAAAGTTCTGTAGACTTAACTAAGCACTTAAACTTAATCTCCAGCATAGCCGTCACTGATGGTCATCTTGCAGATGAGGAAACAGAGGACTTCAAAAATTACAGTGGCTGACTGTCTTCCACTTGTTCAGGACATGGGCATACCACAGACATCCAATACTAATTTGTTGAATGAAAGAAGTTGTCATTGAATGAATCAATTGATATGAGGAGAAGGGTGAGCAGGGCACATTGGCGCTGGCCTGTGATCCCAGTGGCTTGGGAGGCTGAGATAAGGGGATGGCGAGTTCAAAGCCAGCCTCAGCAAATTAGCAAGGACCTAAGAAATTCAGTGAGACCTTATCTCTAAATAAAATTTAAAAAAAAAAAAAGGCTGGGGATGTGGCTCAGTGGTAAAGTGCCCCTAAGTTCAATCCCTGGTACCAAAAAAAAAAAAAAGAGGGCCACCTTCTACTGGCTCCTAAAAGCCAGTGGTGGGCATGTATTTCCAATTCTGCCTTCAATAACGTCACATTGGTAGGATGAAATTGGCTGTGATAAGAAACAACTCTACCAGCATACAGATGGTTGCTACAAATCATAGATTTTTTTCCCCCCTTTTTCTTTCTTTTTTTAAATAGAGCCAGTTTCTAGCATACTGGATACAGGCACCAGCGTAGGCAACCAGAATCCAGGTTTTTGGATCATCACTCCTTTTCAAAAAATAGAGAAGGGAGAGTAGGGGGAGCCTAAAAAAGTGATATTTATCACTTCTACGTGGATAGATCCTGCTATATTTAAGGCTGATGGAGACAAATGAATATGTGAAATATAATTCACATGCTGAAGGAACACAGTCTGAGGTACAAACTGTAATGTGCGCACAGATCACCTGGGGTAAAATGCAGACTGTAAACCAGTAGGAATGGGTAGGACCCGAGATACTGCATTTTGAGCAAGATCCCAGGGAAAGATGATGCTGTCCATCTACAGACCACACCCAGAGAAGCCAGGCCCTGGAGGAGATTGAGTGCTACGTCAGAGGTCTACTAACACATTTAACCTCACATCATGTATATAGTCTCTTGATCCACCTTCTACAAATGAGACCATGGAGACCTAAGGTCACCCAGCTGGTAAACTCCTACCAGCAGGAAGTCCAGATTGGAGACGGAAGAGTTGCCCTCATACAACACCATCTAGATAGAACTTTTCAGTTGATTCTCTGTCTTGAAAATTACCCTGGCCTTCCCCTTCTCCTCCCATCTTCTCTTTTCCCTAATTGCTTATTATTCTATTTCACCGACTACATTTTCACTATCCTTCTACCACAGAAGAACTAGAAGTGGGAAGGAATGCTCAAACTCAGTTTCAAGTTTATTAACCATGTCACTTATTTCCTGTCTTCTGTTGCTTTGACAGCTAGGACTCGCTGACCCTGGAGGGACTGGCCTTCCCACAGTTAGCCAACTCCCACAGACAATAAACAACTTGCCAGCTACAAAGACTTTCTCATGCAGGCCGGCTAGCCAAAGCCCATAACCCACCATCTACTTTCTTGAGCTCACACCTTCTGGGTAACTGCCCACCTGCCCCATCACCCCAGGACCAGGCACCAGACAACTAAGGACAGACAGCCCCTGAAACTGAGCAAAAGAGAGAATCCTAAACCTGCTTGCCCTGCCTCCCAGATCCTCCCTGTAGAAACCACGATAAAGACACCTGCCCGCATTTCTCCTCGCTCCTGTCTCTCCAAAACCCCAGCACATCCCCATGTGGCCCTCGTGGATAGTGTGTCCCTTCTTCTTCTGGTCAAATCTCCCAATTTGTTGGCATTATGATTCTTAAGTAAACATAAAACCTTTATTTTTAAACATCAAGTTCCTTAGTAAGGGTAAACCCAAAGACCAGTTAACATGTGAATGATCTAGATTTCCCTGGTACCTCCCAAACTGGGCCCTTCTTAGAGTTATCCACACACACTCTCAGTGGGCTCTTTCCCAGGGTCCTTGCTGTGAGTTAGTCCTGCTTGTCTTAAAAATCCCACTCCTGGGGAGAATGTCAGGTGCCCTCTGCAGCTTCAGGATCTCTTACCTAAATCCCCTGCAGGAGCTGAGTGTGACGCTGGATTCTTGCGCCTTCCTCACCATGCCATGGTAAAAGCAGTGATCCTAGCAAAGAGAAAGGGACTGGTCAGGCAGTAACACTGATAAGGATGGCAATGTTAATGTCTCATGAAGGTGATAGACGATTGACAGCTTATACTATGTTTACTCTAACCTTTACAACATGCAAAGAGCTCTCTAAGCCACCCTTTTCTTTGGTTCTCAGAATAATCCTGAGAGGTGGGGCAGAGCAAATGTCATCATGCCCTCTGAACAGATGGAAAAGCTGAACTCACAGAAGCAGAGATTTCCCAAAGGTCTCCCTGCCAGCTGGAGAACAGAGGTTCTGGAGATCTGGTTCAGAGAGATTTCCATGGTGTGATGTCAGCCACAGAACACTGGCTTCTGAAGGATCCCACTTCCCCCGCAACATCACCTTTGTAATCCCTTGCAATGGGTTCAACTATATCCTCCTAAAATTCATGTCCACTTGGAACCTCAGAATAGGACTATATTTGGAAATAAGATCTTTGCTCATGTAATTAAGTTGGCATGAGGTCATACTGGATTAGTGTGGGTCCTAAATCTAACAAATTATGTCCTTATAAGAAGAAGGGGAAAATCAAAGGGAGGTTGGTGGAGGAAAGAGACCAAGGGGGAGGAGGCAGGGAGGGAAGGGGAAATGCTGGGGAGCGATATTGGCTAAATTATGTTGTTATATTGTGTGCACGCATGAATATGTAATTTCAAATTCCAACAATATGTACAATTATAATGCACCAATAAAAAATGAGGGGGAAAAGATTACAACAAAAATAAGAGAGGAGGAGAGGAGAGGACACAAATGGACATATACAAAAAGAAAAGAAGTTGTGTGAAGATGGAAAAAGGTATGCTCATACATTGCTGGTGGGACTGCAAATTGGTGCAGCCAAGTTGGAAAACAGTATGGAGAATCCTTGGAAAACTGGGAATGGAACCACCATTTGACCCAGCTATCCCACTCCTCGGTCTGTACCCAAAGAACTTAAAAACAGCATGCTACAAGGACACAGCCACATCAATGTTTATAGCAGCACAATTCACAAGAGCTAAACTGTGGAGCCAACCTAGATGCCCTTCAGTGGATGAATGGATAAAGAAAATGTGAGATACATACATATATATATATATATATATATATATATATATATATATATATATACACACACACACACATACACACACACAATGGAATATTACTCAGCAATAAAGGAGAATAAACTCACAGCATTTGCAGGTAAATAGGTGGAGTTGGAAGATATAATGCTGAGTGTAGTTAGCCAATCCCAAAAAACCAAATGTTGAATGTTTTCTCTGATATAAGGAGGCTGATTCATAATGGGGCTGGGAGGGGGAGTATGGGAGGAACAGATAAATTCTGGATAGGGCAAAGGGATGGGAGGGGAAGGGAGGGGGGAGGGGGATAGAAAAGATGGTGGAATGAGATGGACATAATTACCCTAAGTACATGTATGAAGATATGAATGGTGTGAATATACTTTGTGTACACCCAGAGAAATGAAAAAATTGTGCTTTATATGTGTAATATGAATTGTAATGTATTCTGCTGTCATACATAACAAATTAGAATACAAAACAAATTAAACAAAAAAAAAAAAATGATGGAGGCACACTGGAGTGAGGAAGCTCCTGGGAATACCAAGGAGCCACTAGAAGCCACTAGAGTCAAAGGAGGATGATTTTTCCCTAGAGGTTTTGGGGGGAGCATGGTCCTGCAATACCTCAATTTTAGACTTTGAGCCTCTAAAACTTTGAGAAGATTTCTGTTGTTTTAATCTTCAAGTTCATGGTGCCTTGTTAGAGCAGCCCTAGGAAATGAACACACTCCATGCCCTCCAGAGCTCAGGATGCTCTTGCTCCCCTGGATCCCTCCACACCTGGATCCCTCCACACCTGGATCCCTCCACACCTGCATCCCTCCACACCTGGATCCCTCCTGGCTGGGCACTCAGGTCCATGAGGCCTGGTACTCTTCACTACTCATTATGCTTCACAGCCATCTGGTCTCCCCACCCCAGCTGGATTCCTCCATCACTACAAATAGCACGTGCCAGGCCCTGGCTAGAGCAAACGGAGACACACAGCTCCAGTCTTCAAGGGGTTTGTGGTCTTATTATAGCCACTCATTTATGAAGAAGCTTTAAAAACATAATTACAAATAAAAGTCCGGGGTGCTAGCAGAACAGCCATGGCATTTGATAAACAGGGTAGCTATAGTGTTTACGAGGCAATTAAGGCACTGTTGAGAGTGCTAAAGCAGACACCTGGTGAAGATGGAGGGACAATAACAGGGGAAATGTTCCTATGAGCTTGTTCCCAAGTAGGTCCACAGAGATGAGCTGCCAAGAATAGAAAGAAGGTTCGGAAAACATCTGAAGGAGCTGTAAACCACACAGCTGCAGACGTGGGAACGTCTCTTCTTCTAACACCTGAGCCTGAGCAAGGCACATCGTAAATGCTCGGGCTTTCACCTACGTGACAGTCCAGGGGACCTGTCTCTAGGACCATGCTGCCTGCCGTTTCCTTGTCCACCCCAGGCAGAGATGTGCTTATCTGTATTTTCTGCCTCCACCTCCCTCCCAGCACCAGGCATGAGTACAGCCAAACAACAAAATTCAAGCATTTCGGCACAGCCAGGCCAGGTTCAACGCAGCCTCCTGCAGGCACCAGCTGTGTAAGCAGTTCCACAGGCTCTCTCTGGCCTTCAGCGTCCACAGCCTTGCTCACAGAGGACTGTATACAAAGAGCAAGCTTTAGGATTGACAGAGGGATTTCACCATACCTGGCCCAGAGTGGCAGCCATTCCACATCTGTGACCATGGTATCATTAACTCCTCCTTCATTCAAGGCACAATGAGGGATGTGGAAACCCACCAAGGGGCTGAATCCATGGTTCTCGCTGTGCCGATTCTATCCTGTCCAGCTGAGCTGTGCAGCCAGATCAGAGGATGCAGGCCAAGCTGACTCTAAGCTCGGGCCAGTTCTCTGGACCGCAGGTGCCCTTTCATCTGCTGATAATCCGCCGAGCAGCCATGTGGCTCCTCTGTCCATGAACATCCACACAGTTGGGAGGAGGAACAGGCATCGGCCCCCTCTTTGCATCAAACTCTCCTGGACTTTTAACAAGTCAGATTCTGACCTTCAGAGGAATGCAAAGGAAATTCACTGAGCTCAGGGGACGTCCCACAGCACCTGTGAAAGAAGATAAGGCAGACACAAAACCCTCCTTCTGGCCAGGAGTCCATCTATCTTCAAATGTCAGCCTGTCACACAGCATCTCTACCTTCCCCTGGGCTCTGGGACCTGGAGGTGGATCATCAGATGATCCAGTTCTGAACCTGGTCCTTAGAACTCAAGAGTGAGGCCACAGACTCCACAGCACAGGTGCATTCACCAGAGGAAAAGGGGCCGAGTACTCCCAGGGAGAGAGGGGGCCGGGTCTGTAAGGGGTAAATGGGGTTCATAAAAGTTGCAACACTGGAGAGTCAAGGAGTTCAGAAATGTAGGTCAGCCACAAGCTGCAAAATGCTGGTACCCTCACACGGCAAAGAGAACTCAAATCCAGAGGCAGCTCTGAAGAAGCTCTGTACTGCTTCCTGTTTTTGGACTGATGCTAACAGTACACAGCCCAGATGCTCTCTAAAGTAGCAAAACAACTGATTCTTACAACAGGCTCTACAATTGACAGAGGGCTTTCACACGCATTGTCACACGTGATCATCACACCTGCCACTTACTGTTAGTAATAGTAAGCGCTGCCGGCTCTCCGGCTCTTACTACCTAACAAACAACTTTGGTAGGTTTTTTTTTTTCCTTTAATTTTGAGCACAGCCTTATGAGGAAGATAGTATTATTCCCGTATTTTAAAAGGAGACAACTAAAGGTCAGAGTGGTCTTAAGTCACTCACAAAGTGACAGAGCAAAGTAGAGATTTGAATCCCAGCAGCCTAGCCCTCAACTCCAACCTCTGCTTCTCCCAGCATCATAATGACATAGGACCCGACTTGCCAAAGCTTTGTCACCCTCCAGCATCTCAAGCAACAAAACAGAGAAGTTCCAGTCTAAGCCTTGCCACTTCTGAGCGTGGGCAAGTTACTCTTCCTCTTCTCCTCTCAACTCTCTCATCTGTAAACTATGGAGCTGCAAGAGATGTTTATAAGTTCCCATAAAAATCAGTGATTCATCTTACCCTTCCAATAGTCCCAAGAGTCAGATATCAGCATATCCAATTTTTGAGATGAAAAAACAACAATGGTATGGTCCAAAGGGTTGATTAAGGCCACATAGCTAGTTAAAGCCAAGACTACAACACTGGCTTGGGACCTGAAGCCCTGTAACTCTTTTTGTTGGAACACATTCACACACCCATTCCCCCAGTGACCTGACCTAGATCAGGGCTACAGCCTTGATAAGGTTCCCAGAACTCAAGGCCAACGGTGGACACAGAGTGTAGACCTCACCATTTGGGTCAAGAGCCCCTAAGTGGTTTCTCCCATTGCCATTGCTCCTGGATTTCTGTTTCCAGATGAGCTGACTGGCAGCCCCGTGGGTCTGGGTAGGGGCCAGCAGTAGGGTAGCAGAGGATGTAAGAAAATAGTGAGCTGTGCCAGGATTCAGCTAGGATGTGCCTCCGTCAATACAACCTTCAGGAAGGAGGAGGGTTCTGGGGCTGAGGGGGAGTTCTCTTCCACTCCTTTGTTTCTGAAAGGCCTTTACAACATCTCTGCCTAATGCACAAGCAGAGAGCACAAAGAACAAGTCAAGGATCAGCCATGAAGTCATTGCATTATGCAGCTTCTCTGTCTGATGGGGTTACCCCCGGGGGTCTTTCACAGCAGGAAGCATGAGCTCATGGGGAACTTGTGGACTGAGACCCATTCTTGAGCTGTGGGCACAGAAATGGGAGGAACTCAGAGGAGGGTGCTTTTGTGAGGGTGTAATAACTAGGGGCTTTCTATGCCAGGCTGTTACTCAGCCCCTAATGCTGCCCCAGAGGCACAGAACTGAGGTCTGAAGAAGGGACGAGAAATTCTGACCAAGGGGCACTAAAGAGGTGTGGAGTCACAGCTGGACAGCCTCCCGGAAGATAGGAAGACACAGTCCAACATGCCTGCTGTGGACACTGGCCACTCTTTCAACTCTTGGTAGAAGGTCTTGGTGGAAAAGGTGCATTGAGTACTAACTTTCATGCCCTGAAATACCACACAGCCCCTCCTACCAAAACACTACACTCTACAGCCCTTAGATCTTCCAAAACTTAACTGTTCTATACCCCTTACCCCATTCATGAGTAATCTCTTAAACTTATCTGAGCTATTCTTGACTGATAGTAGTTGTAGTCTTGTTAGACATTTACCCTCTAGCAGGGAAATCTCAAAGAATGGGCCATGTGGGAATCTCAGGTTCCGTGAGAAGCTGCTGGAATAGCACTGAGGCAGAAGGATGTCCTTGCCCTTCTCTATACCACATCTCAGATCCACACGCCCCAGGAGTCCATTTCACTCTGCCCCAAAGGCAGAAGACCATGGCCTCTCCTGCTCTGCCTTTCCTTACTTCACCCTGTCAGTATAGAAGGGCCACTCTATCCCAGGGTTTCTCAACTTGGGCACTGTTGACATTTGAGGATGGACAATTCTCAGTTATGGAGGACTTGTCCTGTGCCTTGTAGGATGTCTGGCAGCATTACTAGCCCCTGACCACTACGTGCTAGAGTGTCTCCCACCCCTCAGTCATGGGAACAATCGAAACCATCTCTAAATATTGCCAAGTGTCTCTAGAAGGGGAAAATAGCTCCTAGTGGAGAACCACTGTTCTGAGCCTACAAATCTCATAGGCATCTATGAGATATGATATGAAATACATATGATTCACTCCCCTAAGTGTCCACGATTGGGATGTGATGAAGCAAACCAATGTGACCACCTAAAAGACCATTTTGTCACTGATAAACCTTCGGCTTTGTGCATATATCCTGGCTCAAAAACAACTTGGAGGGAGAAATGTCCGATATAAAGACAGACACAAAATAAGAAAACCTTCATAACATAAAAGCACATCAAAAAGGCAGACTATAGAATGAGATGGACATCATTACCCTAGGTACATGTGTGACTGCACATGAGGTGTGACACTACATTGTGTACATCCAGAGAAATGAAAAGTTGTGCTGCAATTGTGTACAATGAATCAAAATTCATTCTGCTGTCATATATCCCTGATTAGAATAAATAAATATTTTTTTAAAAGGCAGACTATAAAATTTGAATGTACAGTGATTACAACTCTGTAAACCCTAAATATCTACTTAAAAAGGGGGAGGGGACTGATCAAAATGTAATTGGGTGAGATAACAGAAGTATGAGCAAATTATTTTACTTAAATTTTTGTTAATATGTGGATAATTGACACAACACCCAACATCTTCATGATGCTTTACACCAATTTTAATTGGTGTGATTACCCTAAAACATTCTATTTGTTTAGCAACTTTAGCCAGCAATGTACAGTGAGCACATGTTTTGCTTCTCCTGTTTGCTCCTTTGGTCTTTAATCAGGGGAAGAAATTCCTTTAGAGAAGGCACCATGTCCATCACACCTCTCCTCAGTCCCTAGGGGTGGTGCCCAGATAGGGCAACTGCAGGAAAAGATATTTGTTGACCTGAATTTACCTCAGGTTTCAGCATGGAGGTTTGAGGGTTTCCATCTGGAGTGTAGTGGGTTTCTGTGTAGGCCGGAGCAAAAAGTTGCCTGCAAAGAAGAAAAACAAACATTTCAACCTATAGTTAATAGACTCCAACCTCCTGGTAACAGCAGTTGGTCATTTAAATGGAAGCGGAAGTGTCATTCCAAGCACCTCCATGCAGAAGACACTGGGCAGCCATAGGAGTTATAGAATAAAAAGAAAATGAGGGAATGTTTCACTAATTTTATATACATTGAGAACTCCAACCAGATAAAGTTGATAGAACTAAAGCAATAATCTTTTCTTTCTTTTTCTTTTTTCCTTTCTAGTTCATGAGAAAATACAAAGAGGAACACACAGGCAGCATTTTCTAGGTTTTGTAACCCTTGATTGATTTTCTGACTTTGCATGCACCAATTTTAAGCATCAGCACTTCAACTTTTCTCTCTGAGGCATGCTGTAGTGAGATTATCAATCAAGGGGTCCCACCTGGCTCTGGCCAAGGGCTTGGCCCATGTTTTAGGCAAAGCCATAGAGTGGTGTTGCAAGGTCTAAACAGACTCTTGTTGCTTATGCCTGAATTTTTTGAGAACTAGAGCTTCAGATTTCCTGAGTCTTGGTAATTCTGTACGTCCCCCATCCAATGATTTTTTTTTCTTTCTCTTTCTAAACTGGGACATTGGTTTTTCTTTTGTCACAGACCTCTGAAGCTGAGAATGAGAAATCCTCACCAAAGGCCAGAAGACACTGAACAAGGTTCCTAGAATTTCTCCAGGAGTCAAAAGAAAAGTAAAAGAGTCAAGTGGATGTTTCAATTAGCCCAGCAACATTAAAGGCACAATTATTCTATAGAGAGTCAAGGTTAGGCATTAAAAAAAAAAAAGGATTCTCATGAAAGACACTACTAGAATTGGAGTCTGACCCCCAAACAACAAAAAAGTGATACAGATCTCTATCCACAAATATGGACAGATATCCAAAATGAAGCTAGATAGAAACAGTAAATTTCAAAAAAGTTTGAGTTTTCATTTTTTTGGTACCAAGGATCAAACTCAGGGGTACTCAACCACTGTGCCACATCTACAGCCCTATTTTGTATTTGACTTAGAGACAGAGTCTCACTGAGTTGCTTAGCACCTCACCATTGCTGAGGCTGGCTTTGAACTCGCGATCCTCTCATCTCAGCCTCCCAAGCCACTGGGATTACAGGCATGCGCCACCGCTCCCAGCCAGAAAAGTTTGAATTTTAGAAGTCATTTTATTGAAAAACTAACAATCGTACACACTTGTGCATGCATTGAAAACAACTGGAAAAACAAATGCCTCTTGTTAATGGTGATTATCTCAGGACTGCAGAAGATATTCACAGCGTAAGTTACAAGCTTCTGAAATCTATTTTTAAAATCATCTGAACTGAAAACATAATTCAAAACTGCTTTTGAAAAGAAGAAAATGTAGGCTGAGGCCAACCCAGACAGCCAAAAGAATCTGAAGGGCTAACCTGGGTGGGGGAAGAGGTGACATTCCCTAGTGAGAGAAGGTCATCAGTAGAGTCACTAGTGCTACTTCCAGCTCCAAGTTCTCTGACTCCTGACTCAGGTTCCCTCACCCCCCCAGGGTGCAATTGGAAGGCAAATACTAACATCCAAACTCCACAAGAAGAAAAGAAACCCAACAGGGATATGTAAAAGGAGCAAAACACAAAACCCAGCTGGTGCAGAGAAATTCATTCACATGGAAATACTGGGTCAGCAAAGAACATGCCAAAATCTGTCTCCCAGCCCTTCCCTCTTCCTCCTTGGCTTGTAAGCAGCCCAGGAGCTAGGGGAAGAATCACTCCTTGGTCTACAGGAAACAAACTCCATGAGGGCAGAGGCCAACTAGTTTTGCTCACTGGTACGAATCAGTGCTTCACATAATTTTGTGTAAGGAAAGAACTAGTATCTAGTGACTGAAGGAATGAGTGACAGGTTCAGGAGACTCAGAGCCTGGAGCACGGTCTGGATTCTAGAAGACTCATGTTCTGATCTAGCTCTGACTTCTACTATCTCTTGGGTCATAAGCTGGCTTCTTGACCTCTCCAGACTTTTGTTTCTTCTTACACACACACACACACACACACACACACACACACACACACACAAAGAGGATAATACACTAGTTGATAAGGGTGTCTTAAGAATCAAGCAACCCAATAATCCATGAAGCGGGCTGACCCAATGCCTGGCACAGAGCCAAGTGTGGTAAAATTTAATGATTATCGTTATTGCTTTCAACAGGGATTATGATGGAACAAACCAGAAAAGCTGATGAAATTTATCTGTTTCCCTTACTCTCCTCAGCCCTTCACTCCCCACTTGAGGAGGTGATAAAAAACAGTGAGTTCACAGTGCAGCCCCATTTCCTGGGCTTCCCTCACAGGCTGCATGATGGATGGCTGGTAAGGGGTTCAGGGTTTAATGGCCCATCCTGGGTGCCAGTGGGGAGATGTCAATTTTCCCACAGGAAAAGCACTCATAGTACATACATTCTCAGCCTCTTTTGAGTATCAGCAGAGAGAGAAATCATGGATCCAGTGACATTTAGATGTGATCCAAAGTGAGTCTTGGCAATGTCCGCATTCTTGTCAGCTGTCAGACACACGTCCTCAGAAGATATGACTCTTTCTGCAGCTTCTTATTCTGAGGATCTGTTCCCACCCTCATAGGACTCTTGGAGCCACAGCATTGAAAGGGACCTTAGCTATTCTATGGTGAAATCCATTCCACCGTGGCTCCCTGAAGGCAAGCGCCTCTGCTCTTTTAAGGTCCCTCCCCCAGGTCCCAGCTCTGACCAGGCAGTCCCAAGTTTTTTATGAATTTCATAAGTGGAAAAATGAATAAATGAATGAATGAAACTTCCAGCTAGTATAGGAATCTGCAAGGTATCCATTCAGCATTGGAACTTCCAGGGGCAGGAGCTCATTAGACTACCCTCTCCAGTTCTGACCACATGTAGTAGTTATGCGTGTTTGTTTTGTTGTTGTTGTTGGTTTGTTTGTTTGTTTGTTTTGGTACCAGGGTTGAACTCAGGGGCACTCAACCACTGAGCCACATCCCCAGCCCTTTTTTGTATTTTTATTTAGAGACAAGGTCTCACTGAGTTGCATAGGGCCTTGCTAAATTGGTGAGGCTGTCTTTGAACTTGCGATCTTCCTGTCTCAGCTTCCTGAGCTGCTGGGATGACAGCTGTGTGCCACCTCGCCCAGCTAGTTAAGTACCAAATTGAAAACCTCCTCTCTTTAGGCACCCTCCAGCTTTTATCCTGCCTTTTGAACCTACAGAGAACAATCTGCTTTCTCTTCCACCTAACCTCCTTTCAGATCAACATTTATTTGAAAGTGCAAATTGTCCAGTCCCACCTCAGACTTAGAGAATCAGACAGAAACTGTGGCTGGGGCCACGCCTTCTGTTCTAGCAACTTTCCAGATGATTCTGATGCAGGATCAAGTTTAGAATCACCGCCCCAGACCATAAGTTCTCTAACCAACTTCAGAAATGCCTAAACATGTCTCACTGTCCAAGACCCTCCTTACCTTCCTGCCTCCACCACATCCTGGATTGTTCTGAATTTGGGAAACCCAGAGAGTTCGCAATCGGAACCGTCTGCATGTGTCCCAAGTCCTAGGTCCTGGCTTGTTTCATTTTTCCATCATGGCACACCCACCAGGTAGGTCCTCATACCTTCCCTGTTTTGTACTTGAGGACATGGAAGCTCCCCGTGCCCACAACATGGTACCAGAGCCAGATTCCATCTCATGTCTGTGGGCCCCAATCTTTAAATACTTTCTGACTCTTGTAGGTGGAAGCATAAAACTCAAACATTGCCCAGAACCTGTAGACCAAACTGTAATTTGATGGTGATGACAAGTGACCTTGAGGTCATGTGTGAGATCACAAAAAAAAAGGAGACCATTAACTCTTGGATGTGAAAGTCTGCTGAGAAGAAAAAGTAGATAAACAAGAACTTCAGGGCTAATTATATTGAAATAACCCTTTTCCCAAATGGGTCTGCAGACTCAGCCAGGTCCTTCCTTCTAGAAGCAAAAGGAAAGGTCAAGGTTTATCCCTCTCTGCATGATTTTACCAAGAGGGGATAGAATATTGCTTTCAAATGCTCCCCACTGCCCTAGGTAGAGCTGTCCATGTCTCCATGCCCATGTACCCAGGTGGGTCCCTGGTGCTTTTAAGACAAAGGATACTGTTATCCACACAGAGAGGAGACAGCATGGACACTGAGTGGCCCAGCCTGGCCCAGCTGTCCTTTCTCTGACTACATCTTGTTCTCATCTCCTCCCTGACAAGGGGCTGGCTCAGCACATCGGCAGGAAGCTGTCTTTCACCGCTGGATTACATTAGGATTTTCAGGAAACGAGTCGCGAGTGATGTGTCTCCAGGAAGAGAGGAAGACTGTCCAAGATTTCCCACCCCACCCCCTCCTTTGGCTGCTGGCTTTGATAGAAAAGCCATTCTTTTGTATCCTATTACCTCCAGCCCTATATAGCTGTTCTGTGCTCAGAAGCTCAGGGGCAGGCAGAGATCAGCAGAAGATTCTCCATCCTGTCACAGTATCCTCTCAATAACCACAGGTGGCACTGGACTTTGGGTAAAACCAAGATTGCTAGATACCAGAGTCCTGGGGCAAAGCTACCACCTCGGAATCCCACCTAAGAAAAGAAGCTGTCCCCCCAAATACCAAATAAAACGTTAAGATCACGCTCCAGGGAAGAACAGAATTGTCCCTGGGAATCTGACACCTTCCTGTTCCAGCAGCCAGGAACCTAAGGCTCGGAGTCTTCAAACCCAGGACTATCTCTTTAAGTAGGATTTACTGTCAGACAAATTTCAAAAGCCTCTCTAAGCTAAAACTCCCTCTTGGGAGGGAGGAGCAGAGAGACTAAAATAAATCAGCAAAACATCTTCTGGGAGCTCAACCCGCCTTCCTCCCTCATCAAATAAGCAAACTGGGGGAGATAAAATGATAACAATTTCCAAACCACCTTGAGAAAGAGCTCTCTCGAATGCAC